TCTTTGTGACTGGAATAACTTAGTCGATGTGTTAGAGTTGAGAAGATGGCATTTCCTCTGGCTCAGGTTTCCAGTTGAGTAGTTCAGGCACTGCTAAGGAGTCTGTGCTGTATTACATATTGGTTCTATGGATACCAAACCTTGTGTTTTTCACACAATATAAAGCACTGGAATTGTACATAGTTAATGCAGACCAGCCCACTTAGGTCTGGAATAATTCCCACCCCCCAAAGCAAACTCTTTGGATCAAGAAAGTGTGCTCAGGAAGAGGGAACACACATAAACAGAGGAAGTGTACTTGGTTTTTATTCTGAGGAAGGTGGTCATTGTGTCTTTTTCCCATTAGCTGGGGTCTGACTTCACAATCTTACTCTTTTGACAAGTCTGAAAAGAATTGGTGCACAGTTACTGGAGGAAGGGAAAAAGAAGTCACTGTGCCAAGGAGAGAAAGGTCATTGCTTCAGACTATCAAATTCCTAGAATAGGAATAGTACCATTGAGTAAATAAAAGTTTTACTTGGGGGGGGTGATTAAAACATTTGCAAATCTTATAAGATGGGAAAGACAAAAAAAAAAAACTTAATTCCTTGTCCTAAACACAAGTTTTATAGTATTTGATAGAAAAGACTCATATTTGATATTTCTTAAAATCCCTTCTCTTTTTTTAAACACTTTTTTTCCAATCTCATTACTGTATTGGCTTTATTTTTCTGCCCTATCTTGGAATAAGAAACTGTAAATTTACTAATAGTTGACTTAACTATCCTGAGTTAGGCTCCTAGTACAGAGAATTAATTTTTACATCTGTTTCATTAGTATGGTTTAGGTGAGCCTGCTTTTTTACGGATAGTTCTTGACCAGGAGATTGACCTGCCTACATTGGAATATTAGGTGGAATCACTGCCCTTTGATGTGAGAAAGAGGAGCTTGTCTCCCTTCAGGTGAAGTGCCCAGAGTGCAGGGTTCCAGGAAGCATTAGTGTTGCTATATGGATTTTTTTCAAAATGTAGCATTTGCATGTAATGTTTGTAACATGCATTCAGGCAGTTGTGAATCTGCTATGACTATTGGTACACTCGTGTCAATTCTGAGAGCTAGTTAGACCTTTTCGTTGTTACTGTTTTTACCTATTTTCAGAATGTGTACTGTGAATTAAAATTTGTTATACCACTGCCAAAAAAAATAAAGTTTATTTTAGAACACAATCTCAGAAATTTCTTTCACATGTTGTCTGAGGTTGATTATATATCACAAAGGCAGACTTGAATAGTACCAGAGATCAGGGGACCTGGACACTTAATATTTGCTATCTGGTTCTTTACAGACAGATTGTTTCTAGCACCTAGATTAGAGGGAGACAGAAACATTTCTGAGTTTTTGGAACTTTCTCTGGATCACTCCTTTCCTCCTTACTATCCTCATACTTATGTCTTTGCCCTATTCTTTAAATATTTTACTTACTGAACTTCACGCTATACATAAATAAAATGTTCTATAAGCTTCCCAAATAACTCTCATCTTAAACAGCCTCTGTTTGTTCCTGATACATCTGCAAGAGATCTTTTAGGTACTGTGGAGAATCTGGCTAAACAGGACTCATCCCTTTTACCCCAGGCCTGATCCAATTCTTTACATCAGTATTCTATTTTTCTCTGGTTCCCTTCCTTTGATGCTCTGTAGCTCCCTGCTGTTTCTAGCTTATTTCAGTACAGGCGGGTCCTGGGAGAGGGACTAGTCACTGACACTAAATTAACTCTATTTCCCATTTCCTCTGTTTCCTCGCTATACCACAACCTTCCCAGAAAATCATGTGGTTTAATTCTGTTACCGAGTCATCTGCTTATAGCTCTCTAATAATTGTTTTCCAAGTCTCTTCAAGAATGCAGGACAGCAATTGCATGATCTATTGCAAACCCATCAAGTTAAGACTCTCCCCCTTATAATATGACCAGAGGACTCCCTCTCAATGGACCCAGCAAACTACCCCCTCTGGCAAACACCCTCCTTAGCAAAAAACAGCTATAATGTCCCTGGTGTGGTCCCCGCCCCCCGCCCCCGAGGGTTTCTCTGTGTAGTTTTGGTGCCTGACCTGGATCTCACTCTGTAGCCCAGGCTGGCCTCGAACTCAGAAAGATCCACCTGCCTCTGCCTCCCAAGTGCTGGGAGTAGGATTAAAGGCATGAGCCACTACCGCCCAGCCCTGCTGTGTATTTTTATATCCTTTTAGAGTTAGGAATGATAGTTTCCTGCTAAAAGATTACACTTCCCAGTTTCCCTTGTGGCCAGACCAAGCAGCTCCAGAAGGAAGGGGACTATGGTGGTAGTAGTTTCCGTCCATATAAGGGGCTGTATCCCATTTTTATGTAGTGGTTTTTTTTTTTTCATCCACACAAAATGGGTGACACGATGGCCCCTTGCCATGAATAAACATGGTCTTACCTATGCTGGATAGTTTTTATGTCAACTTGACAAGCTAAGGTCATTTGAGAGGAGGGGAACTTCAAGAAAATGCCTCCATAAGATCAGGTTGTAGGCAGGCCTATAAGGCATTTTCTTAATTAGTGGTTGGTGGGGAGGGCCCAGCCCATTGTGGATGGTGCCATCCCTGGGCTGCTGGTCCTGGGTTCTATAAGAAAGCAGGATGAGCAAGCCATGAGAAGCAAGACAGTAAGCAGCACCCCTCCATGGCCTCTGCACAGCTCCAGGTTCCTGTCCCTGACTTCCCTTGATGATGAACAGTGATAGGGAAGTGTAAGACAAATAAACCCTTTCCTCCCCAACGTGCTTTTTGGTCATGGTGTTTCATCACAGCAACAGAAACCCTAAAACCCCACCTAAGGTTGGGCCTAGCTTCTTTTTTTTTCTGCCTCTGTTTCTACAGTTTCCCCAATAATCTAACATAACAACTAAAGTGGGGTGGGGTGGGGCACTTCAGATTAGATAGGCATGACAGATTTGAGAGCTGTGAGGAGATGGTCTGCTAGACCTTGATGGCTTTATGTTCATACCACACAACAAAATACATTTATGAAGGCAGACTTCATAAAAGCTACCCCTTCTTGAGGAGGGTTTTTTTTTTTTTTTAAACTCCAGTGAGTACAAAGCAAAGTACTGTGGGCTGGATTTGAGTTCCACTCCCCCTTTTGGCCAAGCATCTTTATGCAGCTCACAGTCCACAACTGTCCATAATGGTGCTAACTAAGGAGGCAGGATTCCAATTGACAGAGGAGTTTTTGAGGGAGCTGCAAAATCCAGGGGCAAAGAAGGGAACAATCATAAACTTTTCATGTTCATGTCAATTCTTCCTTAACCCAATTACTTAACTTGGAGTGTTGTCTTATCTGTGACATGAGGACAATATAGCACTCACCGTCTTAGTGTTGAAAAACAAATACAAGGGACACCAGGTGGGGGTGTGACGCTTCCCACAGTGCCTGGAACCTAATGGACCTTCAGAAATTCCAATTCTCATAATAGGGCAAGGTGCTTGTTCTGATGAGGGACACGGAGAGATGCAGCCACATGCCTCCCAGAATATAGTCACTGAAAGGCCTCAGGAAACAGGCATCAGTATAGGACAATTGATGGTTATGCCAAATAAATTCTATACAGAAAAATCATGGGATTTCAAAGGAAGAGGGAATCAAACCAGCATTTACTGAGGGTCCTTTAGAAGAAGGCTTGAAGTAGAGGGTGTATTTAATCCTCACAAAGGAAGATGAATGAGGGTTGGAGAGGCTGTATGACTTCCATTATACAGCTGGTCAAGAGCTCAAACTCAGACTTCACTTTAGCATTTTCTCTGTAGACATGGGCTGTGTGGGAAGACCATAGAAGGCTTGGGACTTACTATCCAATGGTAAGAAGCTCAGAGTAAGAGGTGGGTTGAGGTACTATCTTACTAAGGAAGTTGTCCAAAAATACATGAGAGAAGAGGTGAATGTGTGTGTATTTGTGCTCACTGAGCCTGGGGCTCACTATTTCAGCTGGACTGGCTGGCTGGTTAAAGAGCTTTCCCTTTCTGCTCCCTTACATAGATCTGGGTCTGAATTCAGCTCTTCCAGGCTTGTATGACAGCACTTTACCACTGAGCCATCGCCCCAGCCCAATGTTAGGTTTCTTTTTTTGACTAATGAATTTTTTTGATAAATGTATTTTAGTACTCCAGAAAGCTAAGACTAGACCGACTGTTGATAAGCAGTTTTGTCACTTGGTATCACATGGAGTCCTAATTTCCCCTAAGTGCTGACTCTCCTGCTGAACAGTGTTGTGTTTTAAGCTTCTAGATAATGCAGAAGGAGTGCAAGGACTTTGATAAACATGGAGACTCACAAATAGTCTCTCTTTTGAACAGAAATAGTTGAGCTATAGCTTTTAAAAACTGAGAATAATTTTAATTAAAATTGTTCCCTTAGCCCTCTACCTTCTGAAAGTTTCCCAGTATACTCGAAATTTCTTTTAAAATAAAGATCCTAATATAGTAACTGAAAATTATGGGTTAGCTTACAACCCCATTTCCTGTTTTTTTTCTTCTTTTTCATACCTATGAAGACTATTGAATTGGGACTTAGGTGAAAAATGAAAATCTTATGGTAGTTTTTCAGTACTTTCCTGTTTTTTCTCAGGTTTTTCTGTACCCCCCGTTTTTTTTTTTTTTTTTTAGGATACAGTAGTGCAGAGAAGGGAGTGAATAGTGATAACCAATTGCTTTCCCCCTGTTCTTGATTTTAGACTTGCACCTCCTAAGATGTTTCCATATACAAGAGAGAATATGTATGTGAGGCCCCACATGTGACAGGAGCCCTGCACATGTGCCATTACAGGTGGTGTGGGTTATAGCCTCGTCTGAAGGAATTGAGTCCCCATGTGGTTCTAGCCAAGAGAATGAAGGGTCATTTGATATTAAGTCTTAACTTTTTTTATTTGCCCCAAACCACACTATGTAGGAAAACATCACAGAGTGGGAAGCAACTCCACCTTGGGGGTAGGGGCATCTTTACCTTGTTGATGACGTGTATCACTCCGTTTGTGGCCACGTTGTCACCATCCACAATGGATGCCCCCTCAATTGTGATATTCTGCAAGTGCAAACGCAATGGGAAGGTGAGTGAACTTGGGGGTTCCTGCCTTTTGAGCAGCGGTAACCAGAGTTTTGGGTCCTATAGACAGTGACTGACTGTCTACCAGTCAAGAGCAGTTGAGCTCTAGTCGGTTTGGTTTCCTCTTCTTTCCCCACTGTGACCTCTGCAATTCCTCCCAGATCCGGATCTTAGGGAGGAGGGACACTTGCCTAACCCCAAGCATGCAAATTCCATGTGCAGAGGCTGTGGAAACAAATCAGGCCACCTGTCACATCACTTTCTGTTTTGTTTTTGTTTTTTTGTGTGTGCCGCCCCCCCCCCCCCCCCCCCCCCCCCCCCCCCCCCCCCCCCCCCCCCGCCACAGGGTTTCTCTGTGTAGTTTTGGTGCCTGTCCTGGAGCTTGCTCTGTCGACCAGGCTGGCCTCGAACTCACAGAGATCCGCCTGGCTCTGCCTCCTGAGTGCTAGGATTAAAGGCATGTGCCACCGCCACCTGGCTCACATCTCTTTTTGTTAAAATGGGATATTTTTATTGTAATAGACACAGGAATGAACTTAAGAAAAATGTGTGTTTGATGGTTTTCTCCTCTAGGTAAGGACTTTGACTGATTTATCTTGCATCCTAGATAGCTATGCCAAGGTGGATGTTAATGTTGCTAAGAAAATTACTGGTTTGGAACACCAATGGATTAGCCTGACTACAGTAATTATACTGTAAGAGTATACATGAAGTCATGTTGTAAATTAATAAACAATAACAATCCCTACCTTTTGTATGCAATGTGGTACTTCAGTATATTATATACACTGTGCAGTGATCTACTTAGGATCATCTGAATCATCTACTTCTTCCTGGAATAATGACGTTCAAATCCCCTCTTCCAGCTGTTTGATTGATTTATCTGGGAGCACTGGAGGTTGAATGTAGGACTTCACAAGTGCTCTTCCACTGAGCTATATCTCCAACCCTCTTTTTACTTTTCATTTCTAAACAGGGACTCACTAAGTTGCCCAGGCTGGCTGTGACCTCACTCTGTACCGCAGGAAGCCTTGAACTTGTAATCCTTCTGCTTTGGCCTCTGGAGTAGCGGGGATTACAGTTCCACAGCAGAAAGCTGGGCTCACCTATTTGATTTATACACTGTAATGCTGTTTAGCAGATAGACACAGCTGTGCAGCACTCCACAGTGTTCTTTCTCACTAGCTGCGTCTTCACACCATTAGCTTTTATAAAAAATATTTATTTTGTGAGACAAGGTCTCACTGTATATCCCTGGCTGGCCTGGAACTTGTTATACAGACCGAGCTGGCCTTGAACTCACAAGAGATCCACCTACCTCTGCTTTCCCCAGGGTTGGTGTTAAAGGCATATTCTACCATGCCCAACTGTACCCAAAATCTTTATCTCATATTTTATTTAAACAATTCAGAATATAACATGAGTGTCATTGGAATTTCCAAAGATTTACAAAGGAAAATTTATAATCTATGGAAGCGTGTGTTAGAGTTTTCTGATTTCTACATCAGCCAATGAGCATCATGTTTAGACTCAACTCAGTGGATTCTTTTCCTAATGCTCACAGGCTGAAAGGGAAGCTGGGAAGTTCTGAGACATTTCTGCCCATGGCTGATGACTCATGGTTGCAGCAGGCCCACTGTTTGCTAGAGCCCTCACTTTGTACAACTCAGGGGAAGACATTCAACCACTCACAGCCTTGAAGCCACTCCCCCATCGAATTGGCATGTGAGTCCTTGACAGACTCCAGGAGTACCAGACAACAGTTTCTCTGGAGTTCCACTCCTCCATGGCCACTGCCCTGGCTCTAGCACCAAGATACATGCATGTGCAGAGTAGGTACTCAAGATACATGCATGTGCAGAGTAGGTACTCATGACACATGCATGCGCAGAGTAAGTACTCATGACACATGCATGCGCAGAGTAGGTACTCATGACACATGCATGCGCAGAGTAGGTACTCATGACACATGCATGCGCAGAGTAGGTACTCATGACACATGCATGCGCAGAGTAGGTACTCATGACACATGCATGTGCAGAGTAGGTACTCATGACACATGCATGTGCAGAGTAGGTACTCATGACACATGCATGTGCAGAGTAGGTACTCACTGTCGGCTTGCAGTCTAGCTAACTTACATGACATCCAGTTACTGGTGACCCCACTAGGAGGTTGGGGTCACCAGCCTTACTTAACTGTGCATCAGAATCAAAGTCGTGGCACTGACTGTCCTTTACCCTTTCCTGGTCAAAGCAGGAGGAGCTCGATGTCTGCATTTGGATCACTGCTTCTGATAGCTAGTCTTTTTTTCTTCTCTTTTATTAAAAATTTTTCATACGATATATTTTATCATGCTTTCCCTTTTCTCCAACTCCTCCCAGATTCTCCCTACTTCCTTCCCGACCTAACTTTATATTCTTTTTCTCTTAAAAAGAAACCACAAAAACACAAAAATGAAAATTAAAGCAAACAAAAAGGCAGGAAGATAATAAATGCCAAAATAAAACAAAAAGCACCACCCCCAAAGAAACATGGGGTTCGTTTTTTTTATTGGTCAACTACTGGACACAGGGCCTGCCCTGGAGTGTGGTTGATAAACTCAGTGACCTTCTGTTAGATAAACTGATTTTCCCTTTTGTGATGGCTAATACTGGTTGTCAACTTGATGGGATCTAGAATCACAGTGGAACAAGCCCCAGGGCATGTCTACAAGAGACTTTTTAAATTGGCTTAATTGAGGTGGGAAGACTTACATTAAATATCAGGGACATTAGTCCATGGGCTGGAGTCTGGACTGCATAAAAAGTAGACAGCTAGTCAAGCTCCCTATTCATCTCTCCTGACGTAGACAATGCGACCCTCTGCCTTAAGCTCTTGCCGTCGTGACTTCCTCTCAAATGGTGAGTCAAAATAAACCTTAAGTTGCATTTGTCAAATATTTGATCACAGTGATAAGAAAATTAATGAATATATTGCTGTAGCCTAGTTCTTTTTCTGTTTTTGTTTTTTTAAATGTTATGTGTGTGATCATTGTTGCAACTGGGTGATGTTCACACAGGCTTCTATTCTTTCTGTGCACATACCTGGAAATTTCCATCACAGAAATTCAGAGAGGACAACATGAGTAAAGGTACTGTGCTCCAGACAGCCAGACGACAGTGCTCTTACCCCGTCTGCCTTGTCCAGGTGAAGGAAGCTTCCTTGCAAGGATGTTGCTAGCGTGGCAGAGGACGACAGGATCTGCAGATCGGCCACTCCATATGTGCCTAGTAGTGTGTGATATCTAAAGCACCAGATCATAAGGATCACAGTCAAATATTCATGCACCAGGTAGTACCACTGAACAGGAGGATAAGCCCTGAGGCCAGACTACCATACTCAAACTTCACATTCTTCCCGCCCCCAAGTGATCAGCCTTAGCTGGAATTAGTCATTAACCACTCTGTGCCTTGCTTTTCACATCTGTCAAATGGGAATAATTGTAACACCCATCTCAGAGGTGTTGGGAGGGTTAACTGAATGATATGCAAAGCACAGTGCTTGGTTTAGAGTCAGCTGTTAACAGATAACTTCCCCTGACCCAGGGGAGGGTTGCTAGGGGCATCCTAGGAAGTAAAGGATCATGTGGCTTCTCTACATTGAACTAAGGAACGTTAACACTGATGCCAGTCACATAACATGGAAAATAAGGTAAATGACACCCACTTTATCAGGGCTGGAATATTGTTCCGTGACAACCAGAAGGTTTTCTCATTCTTGTCCATGTCCTCAATGGCTTGCTGGGAAGGCACGAGGACAGTGAGGTTCGAGGTGGCAGATAGTATGGATTGCAGGGAAGCATTCTGAATCACAGGAGGAGAGAAAGTGGCCTGAGTAGTGTTGGAGACTAGTGGGCTGACTTATGCTGTCAGAGATGATGGCTTTTCTTGTGATGTAATTCTAGGAATGCCGAGAACATACTAGCTTTCTCTCCCAAGTCCACCCAGCTATTGGCTGATGATGAATTACATTCTCTTTTGAGAATCAATCTTTTAAATTTTTAAATGTGTGGGTTTTTTTTTTATAACAACACAGAGTTTCCAGATTGGGTCATACTTTGTCATCCTAAGTCTGAATGAAAAGCCAGATAAATAGTCTTGATGTGTGTGTATGTGTGTGTTATGTGTGTATGTGCAGGCACACAAAGAACTATGTGTTCTTTAGAGTGAGGATGTGAGGAGACTGCAGAGAATGAGGGCCTGGATCGAATTTACCTATGTCTCATTCATGCTCAGAAAGTCTATTGTTATGTTCAACAATTGTATAAAAAAATCAACTAAAAATAAAACCCAACTCCAAACCCCTGAATCTGGGTTTATAGAACTTGCTGATTTTCTGGTGAACACTCCCACTGGAACTGATGTTAAACATCTAACACTACAACATTTAAAGCAGGTCGGGGGCAATGTGCCCTATCGAACCTGCTGCAGGGTTGGTGTTGCATGTGGGGTGAAAGTGTTGTGCATGGTGTGACTAGAGGGGAGTCAGCATGCTCGGAGCTGGAGCAGTCCCTTGCCTTGCCTATAGGAAGAGAGCTGTACAGAGAACCTCCATTATAGAAACAAGTAGGTCCTGGAATGTTCTGGAACATACAGGGAGCTGTTCTCTGAGTGAGTGCTGACTAAGCAAGACCTGTTTTGGTACATACTTACTCAAAGAGACAAACAATCCGTTATGATGTCTGGCTAGGTCAGACACGATGGTCCATTCAGTCAAAGAGGACAGAGATCCAGACATTGGGGGCAAGATGAGACTGGACTCTGCTACTCAGCTAGGGGCTAAGAGTAAGCTCTCCCAGTGTGTTGAGCAGAGAGCTGAGCATGTATGAAGTTCCTCAGATATTAGCTGGAAGTCCAAATCTTAGTGAATTATGATGCAAATCATGTTCCACTTTCAAAGAAAGAGCTATGTGATGGATAGTACTATTCTTATGTATTAATTGCTTGTAACTCAGCTACCCCACCTTAACTGGGACCAGCAATCCCAGCTTGACTGTACATGTTAGTACTGGTGTCCAAGCCAAGCCCCTCACTTATCAAATCAGAGTCTCCAAGGGTGTGGTGTCCCCATGATTCTAAAGTGCATGCAAGGTGGGGAGCTGCTGTTCACCACCACCACCCCACCCATACACTTCCAGTTTTTTACTGCACAAGCTCCAGTGCTCTAAAGTGATCTGTTGCTGGTGCTCAAGCGCAGATCCAGGGACTTACATTTATCCACTGGTAAAATCCAGCCGCTTCAGAGAGAAGGGACAATCCCTTATTCATTTGTTCGAGGGAAGGCAGGAGAGGAAGGAGAGAACACAGAAACATTACCTCAGGGAGGCTCTGGACAGTCTGCACCCGCCCTCTTGAGCTGGGCTCTTCACAGAGCCAGCCTCCCCAGGCTGATGTGAACCTGCACCCCAGCCACATGAGCAAGAGCTGCAGGTGGTCTTCACACTCAGGGGCCTGATTAGCCTTTAGAGGTGGGTGTGTCAAACAATGTTGTTATCTACAAAGTTCACACTTAGGAACCATATAACAAAGAATAATTACAAAGAAAAAAATGCAAAGACCGATCTGATAATGTTTTCTATAAATTTGCAATTTTGGATCATAGCTATCTTGGGGTGCACAGGCCTATGGGGTGGATATGCCTGTTAGACTGAGGTAAGTCTAGCTTTTCCAATGTAAGCTCTTACACATCAGAATTTAGCTGGTGAGAAACACAGCCACCTAGGCCCCAAGGTTCCCAGAGCTCAGCAAACAGCGCCCAGTCAGAGCCAGTATGGAGCCGAAGGCTGGGGCATGGCGTTAACTTGCCTGGGCTCGCACTGTGGCTTTGCCATGGCCTACAGAAAGCTTCTTTGGAGAAAATGAGGGCCTGGGTGAAGACTTGGCAGGGACAGGCAGAGGCTTTGGACGTTAGTTTGTTTCCACGGAAGGTCAGGGACTTGGGGGATTGGAACTGCTGGAGGGTTTGGGGACATGTACAACAGATGGAGGAGTCTAAGCTCCAGGGCTGGGTTAGGGACAGCTCCTTGGTTTAAGTGAGTGAATGCCTATGAGAGGCAAAGGGTGGGACCTCCCCAAACATAGCAGCGGTGTGTGCATTGGGGGGAGGGGGGTGTGCCATAGCAGCCTGGGACAGGCACTGGAGTGGCTTTGGTTTGGGAGGCTCTAGGTTCTAGGGGATTTCTAGAACAAAGGTTTCAGAGAAGAAGAGGAACAAGAACCTGACTGTGTGAGAAAAACAAATGGTGAAGGGAAAAAGGTCAGTGTTAGGTCTGAAACCAGGACAAACTGCTAACGGAGGTGCCTATTAATATGTTAAAGCTGTCACTGGCCACCAGGTTCTCTCAGCATCCATCCCTCAGTCCCTACCTGCTACAGGGTCCTTCTGGTTGGCATACCCGCCCCCTACCCTGAACTCTCCAGCCCAGGCACTGGGCTGCCCTTCCCCAACGGCTCTTCCCTATACAATCCAGCCATTCTGGCTATGCTGGCCCCTTTGGTCCTTTTACCTCTTGGCAGTCTCTTGGCCCAGGCCACCCTCTTGGCCCGTGCCTCGGCTCCTCTCTTGCACTCACTCCCGCTCTCCTCACATGGCCTGGCTCATTCTGGCCATGTACACTCTGCACTCTCCCAGATGTCTGCCTCTGGCTATTCTTTTCCTTTTATCTACAATACACCATACCTTCCCTTTTATTTATTTTTCTTTTATCTGGTGCCGAAAACTGGGATTTTGATTAGTATTTAAATGTGAGTGACACAGGAAGAAGCTCCTCCCCCCTTGAGATTATAGTCCAGTGCTGGGGGAAGAGAGAGATGGAGAGGTAGTGACAGGTGGGTGTGGCCCATACTGCGTGGGTAGAATGCTCTACACTGTTGGCACATAGACAGATACCAACATTTCAGACAAGTAAGTGTGCTTATGTGCTTAGCCTTAGTTTGCGGACCTGTGGAATGGGCATCATAATAGTGTTAATCCCAAACAACTGTTGTGAGGTTTAAATGAGATGCTGCTGCTTAAAGGACCTAGTAAGACACCTGGTACACAGTACACAGAGGGCATTTGCGTACACACACACACCACCACCACCACCACCACCACCACCACCACCACCACCACCACCACCTCATTCAGGATGGATAAACCCAGGATGTTCTGGGTACCCATGGGAGTCATAGGACCCAAGGGAGCTCAGTCAGTCATCCCCTGCAGCCCAGCAGAGGGAGGCCAGTTGCTCACTTGGGAAGTTTGTGCGACAGATTGGCAAGCAAAAGTTGGCAAGTCTGCTCTGTGTGCAGAAAGTACCAAATAGAAGCTGCTGCAGCCTGTGATAATGAGTGACCCACCAAACGTGAGGTTTTGCAAAAAACAAGTGTTTTCATATAAAATCTGGACAAAGGATCTGCAGATGGCACTATCTGTCTAAGGCTATTTTAGCTGAGACATTCATTTTCCTGCCGTGTGCGCTCTGACTTTGCACTTGAGGGTCTCCCTAGGGACTTACCATGAGCACATTTCCATAGCACGAGAGGCCATCTCCTTCATAGCCCTCTTGACAAACGCAGCTCCAAACACCAGAAGCAGCAGACTGACAGGTGGCCTGAGAAAACCAAGAGGAAGGAAACGGCTTGCTTTCCTAACTTAAGATGTTAGACCTGACTCACACGCATCTGAGAGATAGTTAGCTCTAAGATAAGAACTCTGAATTCAGACCTGGGAATCGTGTGGTAGAGCACCTGCCTAGTGTGTTCACCGCCCTGAGTTTGATTTCCCACTTCTACAGGAAAGACAGCAACAGACCCCTGCAAATTCAGGGCTGAAAGACTGTAGTAGCAATCCAGAGCCTTCAGTGTTGCAGCAGGATGCTCCCACTGCTGCAACCCAGAGCCTTCAGTGTTGCAGCAGGATGCTCCCGCTGCTGCAACCCACAGCCTTCAGTGTTGCAGCAGGATGCTCCCGCTGCTGCAACCCAGAGCCTTCAGTGTTGCAGCAGGATGCTCCCACTGCTGCAACCCAGAGCCTTCAGTGTTGCAGCAGGATACTCCCGCTGCAACCCACAGCCTTCAGTGTTTCAGCAGGATACTCCCGCTGCAACCCGCAGCCTTCAGTGTTTCAGCAGGATGCTCCCGCTGCTGCAACCCACAGCCTTCAGTGTTGCAGCAGGATGCTCCCGCTGCTGCAACCCACAGCCTTCAGTGTTGCAGCAGGATGCTCCCGCTGCTGCTTTTAGTCACAACAAACTTCTTCCTTTTCATCTCTGCTAGATTTAGCAAATGAAAAATCCAAGAGAGTTGTATTTGATTTTCAGACAGATGATGAATATATTTTAGTATAAACTCATCTTGTGCAATATTTTGGGCACACTGAACCTTTGCCCAAAACTCACTCTCTGTGTCTTGAATTCAAATTCAACTGCTGCCTAGCATCTTACCTGGTAACCCAAGCTGTTTCTTCCAAGCTTTGAAATAGAGTGGAGATTGCATTAGCTGCTCAAATTCTGCTTAGGGATGCCCTTTGGAGGTGAGAGATTTTGCTCATGGCTAGGCATGTTAGGGTTTGGATATGAAGTGTCCTCCCCAAAGAACACTGTGTTAATGGATGACTCCATTGATGGATTCAAAATTTAATGATACTACTGGGAGGTGGTCAAAACTTGTAAGGTTGAGCCTAGTTGGAGAAAGTAGGTCACTGGGGACATGCCCATGGGGTCATGTTTTGTTTCCAACTACTTCCTGTCTGTTCCTCTCCACCATGAAGTGAGGCACTTTGATCACTCCACACCCCTCACCACGATGCTCTGCTACACCATACACCACCCAGAGGCCATGCAGCCAGGTGACCATGGACTGAAACCTTTGAAACCAGGAGCCAAACAAACTTTCTTCAAGTTGTTTGCTCGGGTATCTTCTGATGGCCACAAGAAGCGGCTCCATAACCTGATTTTTGTTCTTGCTCAGGAATTTTTTTTTTTTTTGTGTGTTTAGTATTGAAGGAAACATCAAGTAACTCACCAGGGGGTGACATTTCTCTGCTTGTTCCAAGCATGAAATGACTGGTTCACAGTCAATCCCGTTTCCCCGAAATCCTTCCTTGCACTCACATTCATTCTGGAATTCCAAGAAGACAGGAGGGATTACCGAAGCAAGCACTCTCAGGCCTTGCACCCTATTACACTGGGAAGCAGACTCTGGAAACCATAGCCATTCACCCCTCCTAAAGAGCGGAGACTAGATTCCAGACTGCTGTACATAGTCAACTGCACTTGGTCACCACACATTAACATTATGTTGCCCAATCACCGTCCTTTTTACTTTCTTTTAAAATTCTTGACTTCACAATAAAGAGAGCTCAGACTCAATGGCTATCACAATGCAAAAGCTGACCCTATATCTAGAGAGAAAGATTAAGAAAGCAATGGCTTATCCATGTACAAGCTAGCTTGAAGACACTCTGCTTAATTCAGATTATGCCTCCCCATTGAGTAGATGGATTCAAGGCATCACTTCTGCATAGACAACCCATAGCACACTACTCAGCAACGGATGCAGCTTCATGTAGCTAGTAAGTGCCCCTTCTTCTTGAGGTCTTAGTCCCTTACTACAGTAGGCAGGGTGCAGGCTGTATCCAGCCCTCACTTACTCTATGGCGGAATCATGGTCCTTGTGTCTACAGCTAATCAATAAAGTATGATGATGACAGTGATGTGGTAAAATGAGAAAAATTTCATGTTCATGGCAGAACAGAAAGCTGCAGTTGATTACCACAATGTAAAGGAAACTAACAACCCGGGCATAGAAGATGCAAGAAGGAAAAAATACATCAGCTCATAATTAATTTCCCATTTTATTTCCCCAGCTGTTTTTCATGAAAATGAAATATCTTGACATTTAAAACATGGTTTTAAAAGAATTTCTTTAATTGAGTTAAACAGAACAGAATTATCATGGAACCACTAATGAGTCTAAAGAAAGACAGAAGTTCATAAAAAGATAATGAGAAGGATCTGATCTTAACAAACTGGAAAAGAAGAGACACAAGCTTTGTGGAGCCACTGGCTGGTGAGGTGCTTCCGGGAATGAACTACTGTTCAGAGGGAGTGCGTGGGCTTAGGATGTTCACTAAGAATGCTCTTTCAGAAGTGGGACACTGCTGGGCCTTGAGGGGTGACAAGCCAGCTAGGGAAGGCATTTAAACTGAAGAGAAATGTCAGGAGACATGAACAGAGGTGAGGAACAATCTTTGGTAGAGACACATTACCTGACCTCCAACTTCACATTCCTGTGGCATTCTTTCTACATATGCATCTCCTGTTTGCATGTTTTCACATGGATGCAAGTCACATTAGATTCAGGGTCCACACAACTCCAAGATGACCTCATCTTAAATAATTGCATAATAACTACCCTATTTCTAAATAAGATCATGTTCTAGGGTACTGCAGGACTTTAACATATGAATTCGGGGTTGAAGAACACACTTCTGTATCTACAGCATCTATATCCTCTTTCTACAAACAGATGTTAAGTGCCCTGAGGGGAGATGAAAGAAAAAGAGGGTCTCTACGACATATTTAAGAAATCAAGGGGCTGGAGAGATGGCTCAAGGGTTAAGAGCACTGCTTGCTCTTCCAAAGGTCCTGAGTTCAATTCCCAGCAACCACATGGTGGCTCACAACCATCTGTAATGAGATCTGGCGCCCTCTTCTGGCCTGCAGGGATATGTGCAGACAGAACACTGTATACATAATAAATAAGTCTTTAAAAAAAAAAAAAAAAGAAATCAAGTAAACCCCATCTAGGATTGCCTTCACTTGGTTGTAGTTGGGACTGTAGGAGGGCTGTTTAGGATGGATTTTGGAAGTATATATACACCCCAGTGGGGGTTGATACAAGACCTTTCAGTTGGGGGAAGAAGTGAATAGAACTTCCATTGTATGAATTTTGTCTTTAACAATATCACCTGCTCTATGAGCTTTATAAGGCAAGTGTGTATATTTTATATATATGTGTACAATATTTTATACCCAACAAGAAACTCAAGCACACCCTGTGCATGGTAGAACCCAAGATCATTAGCTAGAGGTTGAATTTCCTCCATCTGCTGTTGGGACAGCATCTCTAGGTCCTCAACCCTAATACTTCTTCATATATTTGATATATTTGTCTCTTTAAAGCAATATTCACAGAAATTAAAGTTAGTATCCATTTGGTGTGTCTAAAACCTTTTAAACCAACTACAACCAAGTGAAGGCAATCCTAGATGGGGTTTACTTGATTTCTTAAATATGTCGTAGAGACCCTCTTTTTCTTCCATCTCCCCTCAGGGCACTTAACATCTGTTTGTAGGAAGAGGATATAGATGCTGTAGATACAGAAGTGTGTTCTTCAACCCCGAATTCATACGTTAAAGTCCTGCAGTACCCTAGAACATGATCTTATTTAGAAATAGGGTAGTTATTATGCAATTATTTAAGATGAGGTCATCTTGGAGTTGTGTGGACCCTGAATCTAATGTGACTAGCATCCATGTGAAAACATGCAAACAGGAGATGCATACGTAGAGAGAATGCCACAGGAATGTGAAGTTGGAGATCAGGTAATGTGTCTCTACCAAAGATGGTCACCCGGCCACCCCAGGCTAGGGGAGGGGCAAGGGGCAGGCTTGCCCAGTATCCCTGAGAAGGAGGAACCAGCTGACTTTGATCTCAGGCCTCCAGATCACAAGACAATGTTTGTGGTTGCCCAGTTTGTGACACTTTTGTCATGGGAAAGCCTAGAAAACGAATCCAGAAACCAAGACATTTTTGTTTTCTTTTCCCAAACACAGCCTGGTAACACAAATGAACCAAAGTTGCAATCATTTACTAAGTGCTCGGTGAGGCATGAGTCTGCAGCAGGCCCTTCTGTGGTTAGACGCCCGAGGGTTCATTTGAAAGCTCATTCGCTCTAGACCCATGAGCAGGCTATGTTGTCAGAGAGGTCAGAAGGGTAACTAGGACAGTCGCCACTAGACACCATGGTGGGACAGGCAGACCGTGTACTCCTTCTGCATGGGTTTAAAACGTTTGTCACTCGTGTGGGTCTATCCCCTTACATGAGATCATTTCTCTAGGGTGACTTGCGGGCCCTTGTCCTAGTCACTGATTATTCCCCCCACCCAACTCAGTGATTCACAAGGAGAGTCAGACAGATGAGAGGCCGTGTGAACGCTTATGTAAACATCTGCTATATTTTGTTTGCCAGTATCTGCTTGCTCTTTCTAGAAAATGGTTTTGGGGACACCACTATTCCCTCTTCTGGTTTATATAACAAAACATGGCTATATCCTTCAGCCCAGGTTCCCAGGAGAGAGCTTAAGATTGAGTTTGTCCCTGCCTGCACAGACCCTGGCCACAGGGCCTGAAATCTGCAATTATATACATGGGCTGATGGGAATGAGGAGGACCATTTTAGGGAGACCAGCTCCCTCTTTTTCCCCCAGGGTACTCTAGAGGAGGGAGAAGTGAGAAGTGAGAAGTATGTAGTTAGAACTATAGAGGAGAGAGACAGTTAGAAACACAGGATAGCTACAGAGGGCCTGGATCAAAACCCACCAGCCTCTTCTGTCTCTACTAAAGGGCTTTTTAAAGGAATGGAGCAAAAGACACCCCCCCCCCCCCCCCCCCCCCAGCACAGCCAAGTGCAGACCATCCCAGACATCTGGTGACCATGCACGTGGTCAAGTCATCCCCTAATGCAGCCCTGCTGTGTAAAGCAAGCTCAGATCTCACTAGGAAGCTTCTGTGGGCTACCACGACCATGAAAAGTGTTCAATCTGAGTCAACAAGAGAAAATGAATCCTGGGTTTTGGTGGGAATGATCACAAGATGAATCTACTGTGCCTGAAAGAGAGCAGGGGCAAGGCTGAAGCTGCTGGAGGCCATCTTACCTAGGAGACTGGGCAGAAGCTGGGCCCAGATGGACATCCTTTGTGTGGACTTCTGAGCCTTGCACTGTACCACACCCACACTGGCATCTGCATACAGTCTATAGTTGTGCAAGTCCAAACTTCTCCTTTTCTTTTAGAACTCCCACCCCCCACTTTCATGGTTTTAAAGATTGTTTGTAAAGCATACCTGATAAAACTTACCATCGTAACCATTTTCAGTGGACAGTTCAGTGGTGTTAACCACACTCACACTGCTGCTCTTCAACCAGCACTGACCCGGCTCCAGAACCTTCCTCATCGCCACAACTGAAACCGCCTGCTCATGACTAACTCCTTCCCTGACACCAGGGCCTGCGTTTCTACTCTCTCTCTCTTTATGAATTTGACTCCGCTAGAGACTTCACAAAAGGGGAACCGTTGTCCTCCAGGACCGCTACTGATTTAGTAGGTCTTCAAGTTCATCTAGGCTGTAGCATGGGTCAGAAATTCCTCCCTAAGGCTGACTGAGGCATTACATGTTGCTTCCAGTTTTATTAGTTTTGATCATGCTCTTAGCATCATGGTTATACAAATATCCCTTGGAGTCCCTGCTTTTAATTCTTTTGGGGCAGTTGAATTACTGGCTCATACAGGAGTCCCATCTTTAATTTTCTGGAGAGCTGCTATTCTCTTTTCCCTGGCCATGGCATTTTTCATTCTCACCAGGAATGCACAGGTAATTGGATTTTCTGTTACAACCAAAAGATCATGATCTAAATATATCCTTATACTTTCCCCACCCCAGTTGTCACTGCCTAAGAAGCACCCATTGTGGTCTGTGGTGGTTTGAATGAGAATGGTCCCCATAGGCTCATATATCTGAATGCTTGGTTCTTAGTTGATGGAACTGTTTTGGGAAGGATTAGGAGATGTGGCCTTATTGGAGGAGGTGTGGCTTTGTTGGAAGAGGTGTGTCACTGGGGGTGGGCTTTGGAATTTCAAGAGCCCATGCCGGGCCCAGTCTCTCTCTCTTTCTCTCTGTGCTTCCAACTTGCAGATAAAATATAAGCTCTCAGCTACTTCTCCAGCCCCATGTCTGCTGGCCTGTCGCCATGCTCTCCACCATGATGGTCATGGACTAACCCTCTGAAACTATAAATAGCTCCCCAATTAAACGTTTTATTTTCTAAGTTGCCTTAGTTATGGCCTCTCTTCATAGCAATAGAACAGTGACTAAGACATGGTCTAAGTTACTAAGATATTAGCACAGTGAGCCCTCAGCACTATATGAACAGACATTGACCAGGAGGGACCTAGAAGGTTGCCTGGGCTGGCACTTAAAAACGTAATTTCAGGAGAGGCAAGCATTCTGGGTGGTATCCTGCATGTCCTTGGCTGCACAGTCCCATTTTTTTCACCCTTTCTCCTGACCACCCTCACTACCTTTTAGCCACCTCAGGAGATCTCACTAGAAAACATTCAAAAAGACCCCTTTGATTGGTAGTGATGAGATCCTAAGGAGTCCCAATACTGTCTATCTAAGGGCCAGCCACCCATTTATCACCTCACGAGTGTTAGCCTTGAACTGCTTCCACAGGGGAGACATTCTGCCCCTGTTCCTGGAGCTGAGAAGAGGGAGGAGAAAGAACAGCATCTGAGGCCCCTAGAGACCTCCTTCTTTGGCACCTTATCTAGGCCAGACCTCCATTTGTTGGGTGAATTCTGTCCTAGAGCAAATGAGGGGCATGATCTGATCTCAAGATCTCACCAAGCACCACTCTAGCACTGTGTTGCCCCAGTTCCTAACCCATGCAAGGGAATGTGTCCTTTAAGGCTCATGAGGGAAGGCCTGAAGCCATCATAGGAAGCAAAGTTGGGCCTTATATGGTACCCAACCTCATGGGAAACATACATTTCTTAACAAAAGAAACTGGAGGTTTAACAAAGTCCAGCTTTAGAATACAAATGTGAGGAATTATGTTATTACTCAAAGGTGTGTGTGTGTGTGTGTGTGTGTGTGTGTGTGTGTGTGTGTGTGTGTGTGAGAGAGAGAGAGAGAGAGAGAGAGAGAGAGAGAGATATCGAGCACATATATCCTGGTTCTTCCTCTGGGTCTTGTGTTCCCTTGATCTTATGGAACATGCCTAAACTATTTTGGGGGAGAAACGGGGGCAGGTGGAATGGATGGGAAGTGTGGACCTATCATGTCCATTCCCACAATTTTAATGTAGTTAATATCCTCTCCTCCATCACTCTCTAACTCCCAGGCAGTTACCTCTGCCTCTTTTCATGAAATGAAGCCACCTAAATTTGGGTAACAAGCTACAGAGTGTTGTAGATACATGCACGTGACCCATGGGGGTAGACTGAGGCATCTCTGAGTTCTGACTCAGTGTGAGTCATAGCGTGATTGATTTTCTGTGCCACAGAACAACATCACTAACCCCTCAGGCCTCAGTTCCTCTTCTGTATGGCTGCATCACCGTGATACTTATGTCACAGACTCATTACGATACCAACCCATCCTCCCGACCACAAACGAGGGCAAAAGCCAAAGTAACTTTGGACCAAAGTACCTCTGTGGTTGTAACAAAAAAAAAAAAAATCACAACAGGAATCCTGTTTCCTCTTTTCTTTCTTCCCCAAGTCACCTACCTGCCCAGGGCCTACGTATAAACAGGTGGCATTGTCGTGGCAGCCGCCTGCGCCGGGCAGCAGGCAGTTGTTGATCTCCACACAGTCCCTTCCGTCCCCTGTCCATCCCTGCTGGCACACACAGACGTGTGGCCCTGTGCCAGTTTGGATGCACTCTGCCTGTTGGAGGAAGAAAAGCAAGACCTTTGAAATCACAGTCCCTCTTCATGGAGGACCGTGTCAGAAAGGATCTGGAAGACTGTTCTAGAAGCACATATTTGCATGGAATGCAATGGAAACGGAAATTCTTATTCACATAAACATAATAAACCAACTGGGTGATTTTGAGAGCAAGGTTGATTGGAGCTGGTCAGCTAAGGTCTACACCTCTCACTGCACTGGGTTAGTGATTCAGCTAGAGACTGCTTTATTGACTGACAGAAGCAAAGGATCCTCTAAGACGGTGGTTCTCAACCTTCCCAATGCTGCAACCCTTTAACACAGTGCCTCATGTTATGGTGATCCCCAACCATAACATTATTTTCTTTGCTATTTCTTAACTGTAATTTTGCTCCTGTTGTGAATCGTAATGTAAATATCTGATATTCAGGATATCTGATAATGTGACCCCCGTGAAAAGGTCATTTGACTCCAAAGGGGTTGTGACCCACAGGCTGAGAACTGCTGCCAGCACTGTGATTATCTCTAATTTACAGATGGGGAAACAGGTCACCAACATCACCCAGCTACAGAGAGAAGCATGATTCTAGGGCTCCATGATGTTAGAGTCCAAGCTCTTAGATACCACTACTCTTGATCTGGAGGTGTGATGGGCAATATTGTCAACTCGACAACATCTAGATTCACATAGGAAACAAACCTCAGGGCATGTCTGCAAGGGAGTTTCTAGATTAGGTTGAGATGAGAAGACCCAGCCCGAGTGTGGGTGGTACCATGTCATGGGGCTGAAGTCCTGGACAGAATAAAAGGGAGAGTGAGCTGAGCACCAGCAGGCCTCCCTGTCTTTTAACTGTGGATGAATGTGACCAGTTCCCTGGTATTCTGGGTGCCATGACTTACTTATCAAAGACTACACTCTTGAACTGAGAGCCCAAACTAGCATTTCCTGCCTGAATTGTCTTCAAGTATTTTGTTACAGCAACAAGAAAAGTAGCACTATATAGGGAGACCATAGGAGGCTGAAAGCCCACAGGAAAGGAGGAGAGGTCAGAGGTCACTAAGGTGGGGGTGCTCTGAAGTGGGTGGGGCTCAGCCAAAGGGAAAGCTGGTGGTCAGGGCCTGCAGTTGTGTCTAGATTTCATCTCCAGGCCCAAAGGTTAAGTGAAGGGGGTTAAGCCTCGGAGAAATGATAGGATTTGCTTCAAACCACTCTGGCTGTATATACCCAGGGCAGTGCAAGAGGAAGCAAGGAGACCAGCTGTCCAAGTGGGCAATGGATGGAAGTGATAAGGTCAGGTAATGGTAGCACATTTGAAAAATACTAGTGCAAGCAGTGGCAGCCCCGGCCACGCTAACAGCAGCAAACTGTAAGCAAGTTTCTTAATTGGGTTTCTCCTTGGGAGGACAGGGCTAACAATGTCTACCTCACTGGGCTGGTGCAGGGAGTGCACGGGAGCAGATACGCTAGAGTCCTGCTTAGCTCTGAAGTTGTTATTCTCAGCACCCATCTTCCCAAAGCCCCAGAATATCTGAATTTAGGGAGAGTCACGGAGGGCACCCACCAGATAGTCGTCTTTAAATTCAAAGTTTGGAGGGACGAACGCCACTTGCTTTCTCTTATACTTGGATCTGAGATTATAATGTGTGTGTGTGTGTGTGTGTGTGTGTGTGTGTGTGTGTGTGTGTGTGTCTTAGTCTTTAAACTAGGAGGGGGCCCATGAGATCCACCTCCAGGTTTTTTAGTATTTATTAGTTGTACAAACTAATGGGTTTCATTATGACTTTCATACACCTTTATAATATATTTTGATCATCTTCAGTTCCCTAATATCATATCTGTCTCCTCCCTTCCACCTTCCTCTCCCTATATCTTCAGGCCATCCTCCTACTTGCTTATATTATCTCTATTGTGGGGAGAGTGCAGGAAGAAGTTAATGGAGTCTCCGAGACAGGAAAGCCGAAGGGGTCTTGTGGGGTAGGAAGAGGACCGAGATAGGAGGGCAGGGAGATGGGAGGGATTTCGGGGGAAGAAAAACAGGCCCAAGGATGTATGAAAAGCCATAACAAAACCCAGTACTTTATATGCTGTTTCAAATACTCGAATGCAAAATAAAATTTGAAGTTCAAACCTAAGTGCTTTGTGCATACGAAGAATGATCAGAACCTGCTTTTTGGGGTGTCTCTCCCTCAGGATTTCTTTAAAACATGTTAGGTCATAAAGTGGACTCCCAAACGACAGTGCTCACGGCATGTAGGGTGATGGCTCTGGTCTCACCTGGGCTGGGTTTGCCAGGAAACAGAAACCTAAACCATTTCTCAGAAGCCCTCCCGGCTGGTTGAACGCTCCCGACTGCAACTGTCTGAACGGGCACCCTGCTAAGCACCGGGCTGTCCCAGCCCAAGCTGCCTCCCCATCATATACCCACATAAAACAGCTCTCACTGTCTTCCACTATCCAAGGCAGCATGGAGAGTTATTTGTTTCCCTTCATAAACTGCTTTTCGCTCCGTGGAGTGGCTTTCTTTGGTGGTGTCCTGCTGTGTTACTTATAAGGAAAAAGTAAACAAAATAAGATGAAACAAAGCCCAGGGCACTTGGCTATGAGCAACGACACTCACATTTTGACTACAGCCTCCTCTGGAGGGTGATCCCATGCAAGGGTCCTTCTTAGAACAGAGAATTCCGTCCCCTTCATAGCCCTCGTTGCAGACACAGCTGGGAAGAAAGAATGCACACCATCAGCCCAAGATACTTAGCACTGGCCAGGCAGGTGCGTGGAGCCAGCTAGGGAGGAGCCAGAAGGGCCTGGGCATAGTGGCCAGCTCTGTGCAGGGAGCCTGGGCGCAAGCATGGGTGGATGGTTTGGGGGTCTGCAGTCAGGGCTGGGTGGGAATCCAAGCCCTACCTTAGCCATTGTGTGGCCTATCCTAGTCTCCTCACAGCTGGGACACTATCTTCCCATTTGGAAAATGGGTCTGATACTTGCGGGGAGCTTATCAGAATTCACTGGCACCATTAGGGGCAGAGGTGACAGATGGCCTGCTCTTACTGGACCTGAACTGGACTGTTTGTGACCTGCTCCATGCTAGGCTTCTCCTCTGCTTCAGCAGAGACAAAAACTGTCTGTGGCACAGGTCTGAAAATAATTGAACAAGTCAATTGGGTGAGACCCCTCTTCTCTTCTCTGGTCCTTCACATACCCCCCCAAGGTAGACAGAGAGACAGACAGACAGACAGACACACACATTTACACTCAAGTGTACCTCCTGTGAGATGACAGTTTCTGGTCTCACTCTCCTTTCATACATTCCTTCCAAAATATTCTACCATAGTACTTTTGCTGTTTAATGTGGGCCATTTACTCATTCATTCATTATTCATTCATTCATTGGTTCATTCAATATCTATTGAATGACCTGTGACAGATGCTGGGATACCACATGGCTTCCATCAAACTTCCATGACCCCTGAAACTCCAGCAACACGTGCTTAAAAAAACTATAGACTACTTATCCAGGGTCAAATTTCCTAGAGGAAGTAGATTTATCTGGTGTCCACACAAAGAGAGAGTTTGATTGGTTCCAACACAGTCTCTGAGCTGCTGAGATCATGTGGAACATGCAGACGGCCCACTGTGGGGGCGCTATTTTACTCATAGGTGATTTTGGCATACACACTGGCACTGATGTGGTTCGAAGTTCCTTAGACATACACATCATGTAAGCACAGGAAAGACACAGTCTCTGCCCTCACCCAGCCTGCTCTCTTCAGGATCAAAGCCCTCCCAGCCCCCCAAACAAGAAAGTAACTCCAAATACAAATTAAGAACTCTTGTGAGAACAAGGCTGGCATTCCAGACATCCTCTGCTTCCTCCAGGGTATTTGAGGTAGTTACCACCTTTGAAACAGAGGGGAGCAAGCATCCTGGGGGTATTTGCTACCCACTAAAGCTACTGAAGCTTTTACACAGTTAAGGAAATGAACGGCAGTCCTCCCACATCCAACTTCATGTCAAATGCCCGCTACAGGGAAGCTGCTATTAACACCGTTTGGAAGTAAAGAACCCTTCAAAGCATCGACAATTCATTGCTTCATTCTGTAATGGTTAACATTGATTGACAGTTTCATCAAACATAGACTCACCTATGAGATTAGCCTCTAGGAATGCCAGTGAGAGTTATGTGGATTAGGTTAGTCCCTAGGCACACCCGTGAGGGTCATCTAGATTAGGTTAGAGTCTGGGCACACCTGTGAGGGTCATCTAGATTAGGTTAGAGTTTGGGCACACCTGTGAGGGTCATCTAGATTAGGTTAGTCTGTGGGCACACCTGTGAGGGTGATCTAGATTAGGTGAGTCTGTGGCACACCTGTGAGGGTGATCTAGATTAGGTTAGAGTTTGGGCACACCTGTGAGGGTCATCTAGATTAGGTTAGAGTTTGGGCACACCTGTGAGGGTCATCTAGATTAGGTGAGTCTGTGGGCACACCTGTGAGGGTGATCTAGATTAGGTGAGTCTGTGGGCACACCTGTGAGGGTGATCTAGATTAGGTGAGTCTGTGGGCACACCTGTGAGGGTCATCTAGATTAGGTGAGTCTGTGGGCACACCTGTGAGGGTGATCTAGATTAGGTTAGTCTGTGGGCACACCTGTGAGGGTCATCTAGACTAGGTGAGTCTGTGGGCACACCTGTGAGGGTCATCTAGATTAGGTTAGAGTTTGGGCACACCTGTGAGGGTCATCTAGATTAGGTTAGTCTGTGGGCACACCTGTGAGGGTGATCTAGATTAGGTGAGTCTGTGGGCACACCTGTGAGGGTGATCTAGATTAGGTTAGTCTGTGGCACACCTGTGAGGGTGATCTAGATTAGGTTAGTCTGTGGGCACACCTGTGAGGGTGATCTAGATTAGGTGAGTCTGTGGGCACACCTGTGAGGGTGATCTAGATTAGGTGAGTCTGTGGCACACCTGTGAGGGTGATCTAGATTAGGTTAGTCTGTGGGCACACCTGTGAGGGTGATCTAGATTAGGTGAGTCTGTGGGCACACCTGTGAGGGTGATCTAGATTAGGTGAGTCTGTGGCACACCTGTGAGGGTGATCTAGATTAGGTTAGTCTGTGGGCACACCTGTGAGGGTGATCTAGATTAGGTGAGTCTGTGGGCACACCTGTGAGGGTCATCTAGATTAGGTGAGTCTGTGGGCACACCTGTGAGGGTGATCTAGATTAGGTTAGTCTGTGGGCACACCTGTGAGGGTCATCTAGACTAGGTGAGTCTGTGGCACACCTGTGAGGTCATCTAGACTAGGTTAGTCTGTGGGCACACCTGTGAGGGTCATCTAGATTAGGTTGGTCTGTGGGCACACCTGTGAGGGTCATCTAGATTAGGTGAGTCTGTGGCACACCTGTGAGGGTCATCTTGGGTCAATTGAGATGAAAGCCCTACTCTGAGTCGGGCAGCATCATTTCATGGCCGAGGGTCCAGGCTGCATATAGAGAAACAAACTGAGCACAGACATTAATCTCTGTGTCCTGACTGCAGGTGCCAGCTGACCACCTGCCTCAAGTTTCTGCCACCATGGTGTCCCTGCCACAACAGACTGGACCTTGAATCTGTTCGTGTGTCAAAATACACTGTCTAAAAATGCACCTGCTCAGGGTATTTTGACACAGCAGCAAGACATGTAACTAACTCTTCCTCCGTTTCCTTCCTCCCCTTCCTTGTTTCCTTTTTGACTTTTTTTTTTAAAAAAAGATATGATATTTGTGTACACACACACACACACACACACGTACCATGCATGCACCCTTAGAAACCAAAGGAGGGCGTTGGGTTCCCTGGAGCTGGAGCTGCAGGCATGGGTGCTGTAACAACTCAGATCCTCTGCAGGAGCAGCCACTGCTCTTGTCTGCTGAACTGTCTCTCTCCCCCCACTGCTTCTGGATTTTTTTTTTTTTTTTTTTGGTTTTTTCGAGACAGGGTTTCTCTGTGTAGCTTTGTGCCTTTCCTGGATCTCACTTGGTAGCCCAGGCTGGCCTCGAACTCACAGAGATCCGCCTGGCTCTGCCTCCCGAGTGCTGGGATTAAAGGCGTACGCCACCACCGCCCGGCCGCTTCTGGATTTTTAAGACAAGGTCTTGCTGTAGCCCAGGCTGGCCTAGAACATGCAGCAACCCTCTTGCTTTAGCACCCCTGCCTGCTGGAACTGTAATATGCACACCTGTGGCTTTCCTTATTTCTTTACCCGCGCTCACAATAAGGGAAGGGTCCATCCAGGCTGGGACTCATGTTTTTATAGCGGGTTCTTCTAATCTCCGCCATTGTTCTGTGAGGCAGGGTTCATCACGACTAGCGAGGAAAGTGAAGCGTAGAGAGGTACACTAACGTGCCGAAGGTCACGCAGCTGGTGCCCTTCAAAGCAAGGAAAGCTAAGATTTGTTTTCGGCTCAGTTTTAGCTTCGGCAAGAGCCACACTGTCAGCGGGGCAGAACACGCCTTACTTTATAAAGCGTTAGGTATGGGCTGGCTCCACCCACAGGTAGCCTTGGGGTCACAGGTCATACACTGACCTGGCTGTCCCTCTGCTGTAGTCACAGGTGGCGTGGACGTGACAGAGCTGCACATAGGGCCCGCAGGCTGCAGGCTGCCTGTCACAGAGCCTCCCGCTTGTGCCCTCTCGACACGTTCCTGGGAGGCAGGCGCCGTCACTGTCCACGCGGTTATCACATGCGCCATGCACACACAGACAGGCTGCAAGAGAGGCGGAGAGGGTGTTCAGGGCTTGGAGATTTCCACGGGAGCATGGAACCACGGAGGATGGGGACTGTGCCCTCCCCAACCCACTGCTGTCCGTCAGAGCTGGGTTGAACTCAGGGTCACCAGCATTTCTGAGAGTGCCAGCGGCAGCCTCGGAGAGCTGACTATCCCACCGGGGGGAGGATTATCAGTCCCCAGTGTGTCCTCTATGTATCTGTGTGTGGATGTGGAGAAGGAGGTGGTTTGTGACGTGCTCAAAGAAGCCAAGGAACCCAATTGTCGACTACTCTGTGGTTGGAGATGTTAGCTGAGAAGTTGCTCACGTTTTGGAAACATTCTAGAATAAACAGATTTCTTCTATTTGTAGAACTCCAGATAGGATCATGTATTAGTCCTCTGCTTTCATTCCCAGCAAAACCAGCGATAATTAGTGGCCGGTATCTGGGCCCTGACTTTATTCAAGGCCCTGGATTGGCTTTCCACCACCTCCCTAGTCACCCTCAGGCCCACAGAGTGAGCACATTCTACTTCTCCAGATACAGAGGCCGAGGCCCAGCGAGCAGAAGCAAACCACCCGATTTGCCCCCGAGTGCCCACACAGGGACCTGACCCTGTACTGTCCGAGCCCACGCCTATCGCGACTGTGCGCATAGTGGGGTATGATATTAACCAGTACTTCCACAGCTCTGTCATTCTCTTAAACTTCAGCTACTTACCCCGCTTTTCAGTATTGATATTTGAGGTTTTCAAAGTGAGGGCTTAGTTCAATCGGAAAAGTGCTTGCTGTACTGCTGTGGGATGTCCTGTATGCTGCAAATATATGTTGCTATGATCGATTGATAAATAAAATGCTGATTGGCCAGTAGCCAGGCAGGAAGGATAGTGTAGGCAGGACAAGGGGAGAGGAGAAGGCGGGGTGGAAGAAGGCTGAGTCAGGAGATGCTGCCAGCTGCCACGAGGAGAAGCGTGATGTTAAGATACCGGTAAGCCACGAGCCACGTGGCAATTTATAGATTAATAGAAATGGGTTAATTTAAGATATAAGAACAGATAGCAAGAAGTCTGTCACGGCTGTACAGTTTATAAGTAACATCAGTCTCTGTGTGTTTACTTGGGGGACGCTAGTGGGAGAGATTTGTCCCGACTGCTGGCAGGCCGGGACACAGGAAAACTTCAGCTACACTGCACAGGCAGGAGGACCCAGGTTTGATCCTCAGAACCCAGACATGGTGACATGTGCTTGTAATTCCAGTACTGGGGACACAGAGACAGGTAGGTCCCTGGGATCACTGGCTGATGAGAGACCCTATCTCAGAAAACAAGGTGGTAGGTCCCTGAGGAAAGACACCCAAGGGTGACCTCTGGCCTCCACATGTATATGTACATGTGTGCGTGTACACCCCCATGCACACATACCCACATGAACATGCATACATGTGCACACACATACACACACACACACACACACACACACACACACACACACACACACACACTGCAATGTGAGCTCATCAGTCTCAGGCACCTATGCATGGGCATAGGGTAAAAAGGAGGGAGGGGCCGGGCGGTGGTGGTGCACGCCTTTAATCCCAGCACTCGGGAGGCAGAGCCAGGCGGATCTCTGTGAGTTCGAGGCCAGCCTGGTCTCCAAAGCAAGTTCCAGGAAAGGCGCAAAGCTACACAGAGAAACCCTGTCTCGAAAAACCAAAAAAAAAAAAAAGGAGGGAGGGACATGGAGCCTCTCAAAGGAAGGCTGCAAGGATTGGGGTTTGAATAACACCCCAAATGAAGGGCTCTGGGCCTTGCCCCAGCTGGGATAGAGACAGAAACCAGTATAGACAGGTACTTGGAACCAACATTCAGAAAAGTGTGAACAACCTCAAAGGAAAGACTGGAAAACCATCTGGATTAAAAAAAAACTGTTACACCATTCTAAATAGCCAGGATGACTTCATTCGCAAGGAGTAGGACTCCAGTGACCACAGACCCAAGATGAAGGGCAAAGCTGGCAGCCACCTCCTGATCTGAGCCTCCGTATCCTTCTGGAGACTGACGAATGCCAAGGTTGTTGGGCTTTGTAATAAATTCCTATTTTTATCTTAGAAATCTTACTTGGTAAAAAGAACAACCGGCTAGGATGAAAGAGCACTGACCCCCGCTGTGTTCTGAGTTCCCAGTCAAATACTGTTAGCGAAGGAGGTTTGTTCATACTAGATGTGTTGGGTTAGTGGGGGTAGTGATAGATGGGACTTCATTTATTGATTATCTAGTAGATGTAAACTCTGTGCTGAAAGCCCCCAGTTATGATCTGGCTTGATACTGTGAACAACCTGTGAAGTATTCTGGGATTTTGTATCTGTGGCCCACAGATCAAAAATATTTTAAAAAAATCCCTATGTCTATTCTAAACACATACATACCTTTATCTTGTCATTATTACCTAGAAAATATAACATGGCAACTGTTCATGTAGTGTTTATAGAGCATTTGTATGATAACTCACCTAGAGGGGATTCGTGTGTGAAGATGTGAATAGGATCCAGGCAAACACTATGCCTTTTCATACCGAGCACTAGAGCAGCTGCAGAGTTCAGTGGCAATGAGGAGGGCTGGCACCAATCCCCACCGATGCCCAGAAGACAATTCTACAACATTATCGACATTTTCTAGGTGGAGATACTGTAACACTTTCTCAGGTCACACAGCCGCTAAACTGGAAACGAGAATTTAACTTCTGGCTGGTCTGACTCCACAGGAAGCTCTTACCTATTCATCGTTATGTTCTAACTTTAGCTTAGGAACAGACATCTGAAAATATATACAGTTAAACGTACATACGATGATGCCATTTGAAAGAACAATACATTTTCTGAGTGTGTAGGACCGAATTTGCATACGCCTACTGTGGAACTTTCTATACGTTCTACAGGCTCTGTGATACGTGTGCCACTGGGGTGTGGTTACTGCTCTTAGAATAATAGCAAAAACAGCAGGAGGTCACAACAGTAGCTAGCGTGCTTTTGGTATGTGCTATGTGCTAAGCATGTCCTAAGGAAAGCTGTCCACACGTAAGTTGTAATGAATTTATAAAGTACTTATTAGTACCATTGCCCTTATTTTATTTGCAATTTGAGGGTGCACTCATCCAAAGTCACAGTTCTTCAATGGAGGAACTGATGGGTAAGAATTATTGAAAGGGAGCAGATCTATTTCTCAAAATGGACTATTTATGTCTTCATGGACTTGGACAGTGATTTCTAAAGTGTGGTTGCTGGGTTGGCACTGCCCAAGAAAGCTGTTAAAAGTGTATTTTCTCAGACTCATCCCAGAGAGAACCAGAAAACCAGCACCTTGTTCTTGGCTGTCTCCACATGCTATCACTTGAGAAGCAGCACTTAATAAACCCACACTGTGATGACGACAACCTCAAGCAAAATCCACAAGACACCAGACCACATCATCAGCATGCTTAGTATGAGAGAAAGCCCGTGGAAGGGTGCTCTAGAAGCCCCACTTACTTCTGTTACACTGAGGTCCGTATCGGTTGGGGTCGGAGCAGAACTGACACTTGGAACCTTGGAAGCCATCCTCACAAAGGCAGGTCCCGTTGCCGCCGAGGCCATCTATGCACTAAGAGCAGAGGCAGCCCCGTGGGCCATTAGGACACATGTGACAGCCAAGGAGAAGCAGATGCTTTTGCTTCATGGCTTGAACTCAGGCTCAGTCCCACTGGAAGTGATGTTCGACTCCTTGTGGGAGGTGGAGTCATCTTGGTATCATGTAGGATGTAAAAAGAGTACCGGACTTGGGGATCCTGACCTAGGATTTAGAACCTTAAAGGACAAGGTGCAAGGGTGTATTATGTAGCTGTTTCCTCTGAATGGAGACATTCTGTGTGGAGGTAGGCTCAGCACTGGGAAGGTTAACTAAATTTAGGAGCCTCAGGAAACTCACAAAACACAAGACCCAGAAAAGCCTAAACAGTTTTGACCCACAGGGAGCCTTACAGAGCTTCTGTGAGCAGTGAACACTGGCTGGGGCTGGAGACTCTTCAGTGGGGCTGTCTGATAGACGGGCAAGCAGCTCCATGGTGAATGCAGCTTTTTGCCAGTCCCTACTAGTGCTGGGGCAGGCCTTTTCAGTGATGTGGCTGCTCAGTCACCCTTGCTTCTGGATGTAAACCCAGTGTACACACTGGTTCATCAAGACAGACTTGTATGACTTTTGTTTTTCCCCAGTACTCTATCTGGTGTGAATAGATCTGTTCATATCTCCTCAGAATAAGACACACCACAAATGTGAAATGAGATCCTTCCTCCAACGCTTTTAGCAGGTGGCAGTAGGCAGACAGACCTTCAGATAAGGCCTGGCCCTGTTCTCTTGACATCCTTGCTTGCTCAGTGTGTTCTTTCCCTTGTAAATCTCACTTGTTCTCCTACTGTGGTTAGAAAGAGAATGGCCCTCAAAGGGAGTGTGTGCAATATTAGGAGGTGTGGCCTTGTTGGAGGAAGTGTGTCACTGTGGGGGTGGGTCTTGAGGTCCCTTTTGCTCCATCTTCCCTCAGTGTGACTGTCATTCTACTTCCTGTTGTCTCTGAGTCAAGATGAAAGACTCTCAGCTCCTGCACCACATCTGCCTGCATGTCTCCATGCTCCTGCCATGATGGTAATGGACTGAACTTCTGAAACTATAACTGAGCCATCCCCAATTAAATGTTTCTTTATAAGAGTTGCCGTGGTCATGGTGTCTTTTCACGACAATAAAAACCTAACTAAGGCACCTACCTGCGTAGCCCTGGCAAGACCATGTTGGTATTGATTACCGCACATCAGAGTTGGGTGTGGCCACTTTCCCAGGCCCCAGGCACTACTGCTGGTCTCTTCTCACGCTTACTTTCTGTGTGAGACACCCTGTCCCCATGTTTCTTTCCATTTGCAAGAGCAGTAGTTTAGATGTGGATCTATTAAATTCCCAGATCTAGTTTTTCTTACATGAATCATAGTTTTCCTACATGAATTTACCTTCCTTTGTTTGGTCTTGGCCTCCAAATAGATGAGTTATGCTTTGGCTTTTACATTTCACTAGGTTCTGAAGTTGGGTTTAAAAACAACAACCAGTGGCCAATGCTACTATTATTTTGGAGTGCCATAAAAACCTTTGACATTAGGATCTTCCACAGGTTTGGAAAGTGAAGCCCAGAGAGTTTCGAGTCACCCAAGATTTCATGGTGAGCTATAGGGGAGCAGAGACTAAGCCATGTTCTCCCTTACTCCCATCCCCCGACTTAGGCTCCTTGGCTGCAGGTACCTCCTGTTTCAGCAACAGATCCAGTTCTTCTGATTCCTGGAAACGCTGGTGAACACTGTGCCACTCTTTGCTTTAGGAGTTTTCAGCACTGCTGTGTGACTTCAGAAAGGTCCACACACATGAAGGAGTGTGAACCAGGGACTATACTCACATGCCCATTTCCAGAACACGGTTTCAAGAAGCCTCCTGGACACGGGTTGCAGTCAGGCCCGAAGAAGCCACTACAGCATTTTGGTATCTGGAAACAACACACATGTTGCCTTGGGGACCCCCAAGGAGAGCACAAATTTCTCAAAAGAGAGGTGTTTTGATTTCCACTAGTGGGGTACAATGCCATTCCTTCTTATGAGCCAACCTACTGAGTATCTCTCGTGTGGACATGAGAATGAGGCAGATGAAGGCTGATGCTCACAGAGAATGTGTGCGAGTAGGGAAGAGTCAACATGAAAGAGAGACTAGAGAAACAACGGAGCTGGAGAATCATTCAGGGGTAGAGTGCTTGCCTAGCATTTGCAAAGCCCTGGGTTTGATTTCATGAACAAAGAAACGAATGGAAAATAAAAGAACATTCCAGGGCATGGTAAGTGCTAGGAAGACAAGTATTGGAATGGAGTGGTGCCAGATAGCGGTAGAGTTTGGAGGCCTGTTGGGTAGTGACAGGAGGGATTGGGTAGAGGAGCACTCGAAAGATGAGTCAGCCCCTGTGTATCTGGGTGGGCATTCTGAAGAGAGCACCAAATATGCATATTGTGAGGCAGAAATGAGGGTAAAATTCGGGTCAGAAGCTTGACTGGTGGCTGACACATGGGTGTCAGGGGCATGGACTCTGTGTTAAGAGGCAGGGGGACTCAAGGTATGATTCAGGGAGGTAGCGGCCCAACTACACTCCGAAGTCTCCCTTTTGACTCCCATTCAGGAAAATATCCTAAATTCCCGCAGGCCACTTGTGACCATGCAGACTTCAGAGCTCAACAGCACAGCTTGGAGCTTCACAAGTCTTGGTGTCCTGGATGGGACCCTCCTTACCTTCACGGTAGCATTGCAGTATTGGGCACAGCCACTTTTCAGGTTCTGTGTTCTGCTTCTGTAGAAACATTTGTTTGTGAAGAGGGCCTGGAAGAAAGCCAGTGGGTAAAAGCACTGTTGTGTGTATTCTAGCGTGCCCTGGGCATCACACAACCTCTTCCTGTATCAGCCATTCTACTCTATGGCACCACTGGTACCAGAGCAAGGGCCATACCAGCACACTCAAGTTCAAATCAGACTGCCATCTTCATGAGGCCTCTTTCTTTGTTAGTAGAATACAGGCCAAGCTTTGAACAATCTGTGGCACAAGGATCTTTACACCACCTCGCACATTATGACAGACATTTCTAATCAATCACTTAACACTCTGATTGATTCTGCATGTGGTCTGGCTTCTCCCTCTGCTCTACAGCCAATCTTAAGTTCATGTGGACATTTTGGAGCTAGTAAGTATCGATCTCTTCTATGTGGAAAAATCCACCAACTGAAAAATATATCAATAGCCCGAGGCTCACTCTTAGACTCAGTGGTTGATTAAATACATCCTTCCATTCTTTAATCTTTGATGCCCATTGCAGTTAGCTATAACTCCCATTTATTGAAGACTTACTATGGGCATGTGGTTCATCTGTTTGCCAATTCATGTGAATAATTTTTTCATGTTCTTTTCTAATATATATAGAAATAGATAGGCTAAACCACTTTGCCTGGCTAACCCTGTTAAAATCTGGTCCAGAGACTATTTTTTTTTTCAAGACAAGGTTTCTCTGTGTAGTTTTGGTGCCTATCCTGAATCTCACTCTGTAGACCAGGCTGGCCTCGAACTCACAGAGATCCGCCTGGCTCTGCCTCCTGAGTGCTGGTATTAAAGGCGTGTGCCACCACGGCCCGGCCCAGAGACTATGTTTTATTGCTCGCTAACTTTAGTACCATGTGGCCTCTGTGGGTCTCAGCTGCCTCTTGTGACATGGGACAATGATGTTGATATCAAATCTCATCCCAAGAGTTTAGCTCCCAGCTCAAATTTTGTATTAGATACATCTTTGCATTGTTTATCCCCCTGTCTTAGGCTCTGCTGAAGAAGGGACCAGGCCACAAGATCCTAAAATCTCATCTACATAAATGCATCCTGAGATCGCGAGGGAAGGAATAGTTTAGGTAATTAACCAGTGTGGATCGTGGATCTCAGGAGCTTTCATGGTTCTTGTCCATTTCTTTTTCTCCCCCTCTTCCCTCCCTGTTGTTTGAGGCTAGCTAAAGATGTCAGACTCACAGGCAGAATCCTGATTCTACCACATGTCAGCCTTGTATTCTTGCCTTGCTCCCCCTGTCGAGAGGCAGTGATGCTGATGATGTATGTCCTTCCTAGGTTTGATGGTCAGTATTGATTGCTAAAGCCACAGGATGTAGAATCCCCTAGAAGACACGCCCCTGGGTGTGCCTGTGAGGGCTCAGCTAGATGAACATAATCGAGGTGGGAAGCTGCATCCTGAATGGGGCAGCACCATCCCATGCCTTTGGGTCTCAGACTACTCAACAAGGAGAAAGCTAGCTAGCTGAGTACTAGCATTCATCTCTCTCTGCTTCCTGACTGCAGATGCCGTGTGAGAAGCAGCCTCACGCTCTGCTTTCCCTTCCATGGTGAACTTTGTCCCCTTGAACTGTGAGCCAAAATGGACTGTCAGGGAGTTTTATCACAGCAACTGAAGAAGTAACTGTTGTTGGTTGTTTTTACCAACTGTTGTTGGCTCTTTACTCTTTTGGGCAGCCCACCAATCAGCTCCCAAATAAATCACCCACGGAGGCTTATTCTTAATTATAAATGCCCAGCCTTAGCTTGGCTTGTCTCTTGCCAACTTTCTTAACTTTAAATTATTCCATCTACCTTTTGCCTTTGGACTTTTTCCTTTTCTTCTGTATATCTTATTTTCACTCTTACTCTGTGGCTGGCTGTGTGGCTGGCCCCTAGCATCTTCCTCTTCTTGTTCTTTTGTTCCTTCTTCTTTTTTCTCCCAGATTTCTCCTCCTATTTATTCAGCCCCGCCTATCCTGTCTCCTGCCTTGCTATTGGCTGTTCAGCTCTTTATTAAACCATCAGGTGTTTTAGACAGGCACAGCAACACAGATTCACAGAGTTAAACAAAGGCAACAAGTAACTGATACTCCAGGGTTGCTGCATAGAGTGGATAGAACTATGTCTGTCATCCAGCTGTCGCTGTGCTACCAACTTATTCTTCTCCTGTTTCCTGGTTAATAGTTTCCCCAAGGACTTGTGGGAAATGGCTTCATTAAGCACAACAAACATGTGAGCACCCACCCCCACTTAAGGTTCATGGTTTGCTCTATTAAGTATTTCCTACTAGGAATGTATTAAGATCTTGTCATTCTCGATAATGATAATAATTCTCGAGAAGAACATTGAAAGAATCTGTTTGGGAAAGTCTTCCTTAAAAGACAGAAATTTCTGTCATCCTTCTTGTGTTAGAACACGTTGCCACATTGCTTTTTCCAGCACAGTACTTGGTATATAATTACAGATTGCTGTATAATTGTACAATATATATATATATATTGGCCTGAGCTTCTTTAAAACCAATACGGTATCTTATTTGGTCCATAACCAAGCACTGTGTCTAACATATGATCAAACTTCAATAAACATATGAAGAATTCAATTAAACATAAACAATTTAAAATAGTTTAGTGTAATTTCCTGATTTATTTATTTATTTATTAGGTTTTTCAGGACAGGGTTTCTTTATGTAGCTTTGGAGCCTCTCCTGGAAGTTGCTCTGTAGACCAGGCTGGCCTCACACTCACAGAGATCCGCCTGGCTCTGTCTCCCAAGAGCTAGGATTAAAGGAATGTGCCATCATCGCCTGGCTATCTTTACTCTTTTAATTAACACTTTTTTTTATTCATGTGTATATGTGTCTGTATGTGAGCACACATGGAGGCCAGAGAAGGGTGCTGGATCCCCTGGGGCTGGAGGTACAAGCGGGTGTGAGCCACTTGATGTGGGTGCTGGAACTGAACTTATGACCTCTGGAATAGCAGTCGGTGCTCTTAACCACAGAGCCATTTCTCCAGTCCCCGTTTTTATTCTTACCGGCAAACGATAAACACGCTTATGGGATATAGTGTGGTATCGAATGTCTAAGCTAATTATTGTCATTATTGCCTCATTTACTTATTATTTCTTTGTGGGGAGAACATTTAAAGTCTAGTCTTAGCATTTTGAAGTACACAGAGCATTAGACACTATCATATACAGTCAGGACACCGTGCCTAACCTGGGACTTATTTTTCCTGTCTCACTGAAAGTGTGTAACCTTTCCTGACTATTTCTTGTGTGTTCCTCCAGAATTATGATTGGGAAGCGCAGATACCAACACCGGGCTTTATTTAGAAGAGAGAAGTGGAGAGGAAGTTCTGAGAGAGGCTGTTCGCTCCTGGGTTTTATGAATTTAATTTGTACTAAAACCTGTTGTCATCTACAGAGAAAGAAAATTGGAAGAGGTTAAACGATATAACCAGGGCCAGCTAGGAACCCAGCGTGGATCTGTGGGGCCTCTTCCTCCCACTGCGGCTCTGGAAGCCAGGGTTAAAGAAGGAAGCAGGCAGAGAAGATGAGAGGACAGAGTGGGCTTGCTCAGGCTGCTCAGGAAGCAGCCTTATCACACTCACTGTGCGCTCAGAGTCAGCCGGACACTTGCTCCAACGTATCAGGGAACAGCCCACACAAGTGCCCTGAAAGAATGGCGGCAGTCAGCACAGGCATCCCCATGAGGGCCCCAGGGAGACAACTTTCAGGAGTGCAGGCTTCCCTCCTTGTGAAGGGCGCTCCTTTGGACTCTCCCACTGTCCTTCCAGTTCCTCCCAGGGTGTAGGATTGAAGGGAATGCTGGATGAGAGTTGGGGAAGTTGAGTATGCCCCAAACACCCCTTCTCTCTCTGGACAGAGCAGCCAGCAAACAGGCTGGGGCATTCTGATCTCTCTGATGGAGAAGGAGAAGCACCAGCCCCGAGGGGACCCCTCAGTCATTCTAGGGACTTAAGAGTAGACAAGGGCTACCGCCACCATTCCCATTCGCTTAGCGGGAATAAACTGAACAATAAAACTCAGCCTTCTTATTCTTGCCTTTGCCTCCAATGGTTCTTAATTTGGGAAGGAAGAGACAAGACGGATGTCCTCAGATTGGTCCAGATCTGTTTTCTGACATCTCTGTATGGCTCGGTGACCATTTTCCAGCTGGTTTTGGTCAACTGGAGACACCAGCAGGTGTTTGTTGCAGGAAGAGAGCAAACCAAGGGCCTCCTTCTTTCCTCCACACTGGTTGGCACACTGTCCCTACAGCTCTGGACTGGTTAGCACACTGCCCCGATAGCCCCCCATGTCCTCTTTTGCTTTTCCTACTCTCACGGCAACCCTGTGCCTCACTCCCAGCCCTTCGGTCGTGGGTGGGATGGCTGCTGTGGTTGTTTATCCCTGCTTACTCAGCATCCACATGACGGTGCTCTTTTGAACCATCTAGGATAGGTTTTGTTTCCTGCAGGGACTTGACTTTAAAAAGTGCTATTTATTAAGCATCTAAAGTCCAAACATAACATGTCCGAAGGCTGCCATGCTCTGAGTGTGTCCAAAAAGGAGATTTTAGGAAGTTCCAACTATTTCTGCTCTTTCTAGGCCTGAAAACATATTTTCCAGAGGACTCATTTGGACTCTGAAGATAGATATCCAACCCAAACCGTCCTGAACTGAGCAGAGCAGGCAGGGCTGGCTTTAAACCTAGAGGAAATAGTGAAGGTTATGTAGTGGAGGAAGGATTTATTCTTAGACAGCTACCGCAAAGTTCTTCTCCCTATCAAACGACAATTCTCTGGGCTGTAACTCCAGCCCACATCTCGAGTTTGTCCCTTAGATGAAGAACAAGCTTTTGAACAGCCAGAAGCAGAACATGGCCAGCAGGGTCCCTGTCCTACAAGCTTCTTTCTCTGAACAAACAGAGATGCCTGTGGTAGAGGGCTCTGAAGAGCTCATTAAATGACTGAATCCTATTAGCTTTCTCACTTTCTCAGGTCCCGATTTCCCTAACAGTTTCACATCTGGGGTAGGAGGGATGCCACTCTCTCTGGCTTAAGCCAGGCAACGTACCCGTGGTGATTATTTCCAAAAAAGGAACCAGACAGGTTGCTGCCAGGGGCTGGCTAGGAAGAGTAAATGTTTCTTAAGAGTAAACCTTTCTTAAGAAGGCCGATCAGAGTGGCATAATGTTCCCCAGATGGCATCTGGCTTTCAGAAGTTATGCTCCGATAGCCTAAACAAACCAGTCCCGGTGTCAGTCAAGAGCTCTGGGACCATTCTAAGCAGATTCTTGGCTATTCTTAGCCTCCAACAGGGGAGGGCAGGAAGGGGGTATCCTGGCACACGCCTGGGATCCCAGCACTTGACAGCTGACTTAGGAAGTTTGTGGGTTCAGGGCCAGACTGGGCTCCATATTGAAATCCTGTTTCAAAAAGAAGAGGTGAAGAGAAGGAAGAGGAGGAGGAGGAGGAGGAGGAGGAGGAGGAGGAGGAGGAGGAGGAAGAGGCGGCAGAGGAGGAGAAAGATTTAAAAGTAAAATTAGGTGTTTTTTCCCTTGTTCAGTGCCCATGTTCCAAAGATACTGTGAGATAATCATTATGACTGAAATACCTTGCAAAGAAAGGTCCAGAACTTTTACCACTGCAATTTGGGGTTTATAGTTCATAGTAAGTTAGAGATTGCCCATGGAGTGATACTGATATTAACAGTGCTTTGATTAAAACTGGCTGAGCCAAAATGGTTGATCCTGAGTTAGAAAAGGTCATTAGAGGGCACAGAAGCTCACGAAGAAACAGAAAATCAGATATTATAAATATCTGGGGGAAAAATTATAGAAAGACGTAGAAAGACGAGTGATTCTCTAGGCCAGGGCAAAGAAAAGTTTATTTTCTGTTCCCCCGGAGAGAGTAAAGATGTGACCTTGAGCAGAGTCTCTAGGTGACAGGGGCAGAGGAAGAAAAAGGAAGGAGACCGATCCTGAACACCTCCCCCCCTGCAGCGGGGGGACTCTGCTCAGATTCCACCTCTGTGACTGAGTAGGCAGAATGGCAACTCTCCTCAAGTGCATGTTCCCCCCAAACCTCAGAATGTGACTTTGTTTGGAAATAGAGTCTAGAGTTGTATTTGGGGTAGGGAGTCCCTAAATCCAATGGCAGTTGTCCTTACAAATACAAGAGAAGACACATGGAAACAAAGCCACAAGAAATAGGGGGTAGAGATGGGAGTGAGGAGCTCTGAGACCAAGAGCACCCAGGGCTTCTGGGAACTGTCAGAAGCTCGGGAATTAGTGAAGTGGAAGCCATCTTGGGGAACATTGAGAGCCCCTATTCAAAGAATAAAGGAGTCCTGGGATTTCAGAACCCCCAAGGACAGCATGGCCTTGCTGACAATTCGCTTTCATATTTCTAGCATCCATAAATGTGATAGAATAAATGGCTGACATCTATGGTAATTTGTTATGGCCACACCAAGAACCCTGCACAACTTCAGGCCATCTCTGGTAGAAATCCCAGCAGAACCTTGGTTCACGGCTGACAGGACCACATGCCTTCTCGTAGAGATGCACCTTTAGGGGGTGGTTTCAGCCTTCTCAGAACTGTGAACAGAGTGCTGCTTGCTTACAATGGCTGTGCAAACCCCAATTTCCCAGATTTCCCATGTTCCCTTACCAATTTCATTTCTCTCTTTGTCTCATCACATCGATGGGGAAGAATTGGGACGATGGAGGGAGGAATGAGGACTCCGTTCAGTGTGTAAATTCGGCCATTTTGGGCAATGACCTCGGTTTCTTCCACGGCCACATCATTTGCCAGAATCTGTCCCTGAAATAAGCATGGACATTCTTCCATTCTGATGGCAGGAGCTGGAACAGTCCCCAGGCAGATGTGCCCAGTAACAGCATCTCTAGAACCCCTCAATGTTACTCGGTTTCTCTCTCAAGAGAAGATTGCTAGTGGTGGTTTTCCATCAGCAGATGATTGTCTGTGAACTGAATCCCTCCCTGGACAAGGATGTCCCTGCGCACGCAGAGGTGGGACAGAGGTCTGTCTACTTTGGCTCCGTACAGCACTTGCTTATTTTACCTTTCAGTTCTCAAACGAAGGTCCACCTATTCAATACATTTATTGACCCCAGATAAACTCTGCTTTAAGCCCTGTGGGTACATCAGACAACAAACGGACATACTGCTGCTTAGCAGCTAGTAGAAGGAACAAAAAAAAAAATGAGTGAATTCACCAAGATTTCTGAGTTCTTCCTTTCCCACACCTGCTCAATGGCGACTTCATTCTTGCTGCCCAAGTCAAAAGCCTCAGAGTCATCCTCGGCTTTCTCAGTCCTTATCACCCATCAAGTACATTGGCAAGGCACTCGGGAGGCAGAAGTGGGCAGAACTTTGTGAGTTCGAGGCCAGTCTGATCTACATGTTGAGTTCCAGGACAGCCAGGGCTACATAGTGAGACCCTGTCTCAACAGAACACACACACACACACACACACACACACACACACACACACACACACACACACACACACACTTGTGTGCACATTAGGTGTGTGCACTAGTAAATTTTGTTGGGTTTATCTTCAAAATATATTTACAATTCAACTACTTCTTACCATGCCCCCTGCCATACTTGTGTAAGACACCATCATTATTCATTTTCTTTGTGTGTACACATATGTACATGGAGGCTAGAGGTCAATCTTGAGTATTGTTCCTTAAATACTGTTTATATATATATATTTTTAAATACATAGTCTCTCACTGGCCTAGAACTCATCAAGTAGAATAGACGGAATGGCCAATGAGCCCCAGGAACCCACCTATCTCTACCTCCCCACGACTGGGGTTTTAAGTGTGTGCCACCACACTTGGGGTTTTTAATGTGGGTTCTGGGTTACATTTCAGGTCTTCAAGTTTGAGTGTCAAGCGCTTTACCAACTGAGTTATCTCCTCAGTCCTCACTGCCATTTTCACTGGATTATCATAACCAAGTCTCTGGATCTGTCTCCCAAAGTGTGTCTCATCAGATTGTCTGCTCTCACAATCCTCCAGGGCCTTCTCGTCTCACATGGGACCCAGTCTACCTCTCCATCCCTTTGGTGTCTGACTCTTTTCCATCACCTCTTCCTGCTCCTGCCTCTATCTGGCCACCATGTCTTCTCATCCCTCAACTAGCTCAGCATGCTCCTTGCTGTGTACATTTGTTCTTGGCTGTTTCTCTCTCTAGAAACTTCTCTGCCCAGAGAGTCACAAGCTGAGACCTCTATTTCCTTCAAGTCTTTCTTCAGATAGTTTCTTCTTTGTGAGGACTTCTTGAAAGCAGAGGGGTGACTAAGAGTTGGGGGAAGAATTCTAAAGATAGGGAGAGGGGGGCATAAGAGGGGGAATAGGAAATACAGAGTAGGACAAAGCATGGAAGATTTTCTTTCATACACAGAATCTGGGTTTGAGTATATCTGAATATACACATACATATACAGGCATATGTGACTTAAAGACAGAAGAGGAGAGGAAGGGAACTATTGAGGGACTAGAGGGTAGGAGGAGGATATATACACGAGGTACAGTGATATACACACACGTATATGTGTAAAAATGAAATGTGATAATGCATCCATTATTTTCTACACTAACAAGTAAATGTGAAGTCCCCTTCTGTCTTCTTAGTTCCATCTTCTGCTTTGCCTTTTTTCCTCTCATTGCTTCCTATGATAAGCTTTTTTCCCTTAGCATCTTTATTGACTACCTTCCTACTTACTAGAATGGAAGTTCCATGCAACCAGAGACCTTTATCTGTTTGCTTTTGTGTTCTTCAGGATCTAGGACAGTGCCTGGCACATCCTGGCACTCAGTGGATGTCTGCTGAATGGGTCAGGTCATCATTACCACCACCACCAATGGATGGTGTTGAATCAACAAGGGACAATTCTCTCTGCTCCCAGACCTATCTACCCCAGACAGTGAGCTTTTTTGAGTTTCTTAAGTAAAGCATACATATTGCCTCCACCTCGGGTCTTCTCACATGCTCTCCTTGCACCCCAAACTCTCTTTTATTCATCTTGACAAAGTCATTCTCCTCACTCTTCAAGTCTTGACCACCTGCCTTTCTTGGACTCCTCCTCCATGTGCTCTCACAGCTTCTGTGACTGACACTCATTGCAACAGGAACTCATTGACCATTTAATGGACTATTCAATTCTACTTTCTCTGCTGGCGTGTAAATCTTTCCTTCTTCTTCTTGCCTTAACCCAGACTGTGACTGATGTAGGTTTTCAGCTGCTATTTGCTGAAAGAACTGAGCAAAGAGTGGACCAGCTGTAAAGACACCAGAACTGTGAAATAGGGGAGAGAGCTCAGTTGGTAAGTCTTGGCTTTCTGTGGGAGGACATGATCCCTAGAACCTGGCTTTTAAAAGCTAGGCACAACAGCATGCACTTGTAATTCTAACACCGGGGAAGTGAAGATGTGGATTCCTGGGGCTCACTGGACAGCCAGCCTAGCCTCTTTGGTGAACTCTAGGCCAATGAGAGACCTTGTCTCGAAGGGGAGGAAGGCTATAGAATGACATCTAAGGCGGTCCTCTGTCCTCCATGTGTACACACATGTACCTGCATACACAGGGTCATTCCCACAGATGTTGCCTAGCTTTAACTTCATGTCTGTGAGTTAATGTAGAGGCATCAGAGTAAACATGCCTGAGTCAGTACCAGCCACAGGCTTCTCACTTACATTGCGGGTTACGCTGAACTGTATGATCTGATTGGCCATGCTCCTGATACGAGCCATCGAAATGAGAGTGGTCACTTCCAGCTGCAATGGGAAGAAATCAGGGAGTCATCTGCAGCGAGTCACAGAGTCCCCATTTCTTACAGTCCTTGCTTCAAGAAAGTCCTTAACTATTGATGAAATAACGGGAGCTTTGATGTCATGAGCATTTGTGGCTTTAAGGATTTCTCTATTAATAATATCACAGACAATAGTTATAGACTGAAGGTTGCTCAGAGCTAATAAATGTCACAAATAATTCTCTAGCTCCAACATATTGGAACTCAAGACTAGGATCTGGTATTTTAAAAGCAAGGATAAAGTAGTAGGAGAAAGACTAGGGCCAACCTGCGTAAATGAGACAATGTGGTATCTGACGAGTTCCAGAAGTTTCCGAGAGCCCTGCAAAGGAAACAATATCCTATGTCAATCAATGAAGAAAACTTTACATGCTTCTTTTTTTGAGGGCCCTTCACATGAATGAATTTGAATATTAATCATAAAAGACAATAACCCAACCCCTTTACTGGGAAACTGAAGATAAGAAAAATTCCATGCACTAATGGCTGACATTCATCAAATCTCTTGGCTGTTCCAAGAACATAGCACACACATTTCATGTAACTGCAGCATCCCTGCGAGTAGAGCTTACCATTAACCCATTTTATGTGTGCTAACACTGAGGATCAAAGCACACCCAAGTCACACAGCTTCCTCAGGATAGGAACCACAATTTCAGCCACTCTGCTCAATCTTTCTGCTGCATGTCTTAGGTTACATTTTGGAATTTTTTTATAACATCCCTCTATTTATGGTTCTCACTTGCTCCATAAATCACGTTTGCTTATCAGGCTATATACTGATATTTTAGGAGCATACTGATATTTTAGGAGTGTTCAGCTGTAAGAACCCTGATCATCCATACTCTCAAAAGAAATCACCCTTCTTCTAAGACACTGCCAAGATTTCCTCTTACATCAAAACAGTGGAGCAATTAATGGAAGAAACCAACCAACCAAACCAAACTATGGCCGCGCAACCCTGCCGCTACCACAGCTAGGATCCTGGCACTCTCAGGGAGAACTGCAGGCAGGTGCCTGAACCTGCAGAATGGAGGAGCACAAGGTCACACTCCGTGGGGCAGTGGCAGTGGTATCTTCCCCTGCACTGACTCAGCTGGTCATAAGAAGCTTCCCAGCCCTCAAATTCTGCTGAGTCTGTAGCACAGCTTGGACGGCGAAGATCATAGACCAAGAGCCTAAAGACTACCAGAAGGTTGTCCTTTTTGGGGACATGTTCTTACACCATCAAGGCTCAGGCTGAACTTGAGGTTTCCCCTCCCCCCTCCCTCATTCAGCCTCCTCTTGGCATTTGACGTTGGTCATGATGCCGGGGAGTTATCTGTAAGTAATGACCACATATCTCAGTTTGTCTGATCCAATTCTAGCTTACACCTACTGTCTGGCTGCTCTGTTCATTTTCAAAAGCATCTGGTGAGGATGATGAATGATTAAGTTGCCATAGCAACAAGCTGATAGTATGATGTGTGGAGCTGTGCTACAGAAAGAATGCTGAGTTTGCCGCCAGCTATTAGCTCTGGAAGAGATGCTTTGTGGCCTTTTGGGTGGGTCACCATGGAACCTTGAACAAATCAGCCTCTGGGTCTCAGCTACTCCATGGTTCCAAGAAACTGGGACTTGTAGGAGATAGCATCAGTGCTACAGGCTTCAGTGTGTGACACCAGAGAAGATGATACAGAGAGAACATTGCTGAGACATGTCCAACCAGACTAGGCGGTCAATTTCTGAATGACAGGACCACGTATGTCCATGTTGAGCTATTATCACCTTGTGCTCAGATAGGACAGAATGGGGACACAACAGTCACTTTCCGAGCATTCGTGCCAATAAATTAAAAATAAAGGAGGTGTGCTAGGAAGAGCACTTAGCTTGAGTTTAGAAGCCTGGGTAGCATATCAGTTTGGCTTCTGTGTGACCTTGAATGAGTCTCTTAACTGTCAAGGCTTGGTTTTCCTGAAAAATACAGGGATTGATATGAATCTCTTCTATAGCTTTGCTTCTACTGGAAAGAATCTATCAATGGGAGAATCCACTTCTAAAGTTGAGTTAGTGTTGGGTCCATGACATAAGGCAGAAAAGGGTAGAAGGAACATAGGAATCAATCTCTGGTCACTGTGGGTTGTAGCCCTGTCTGGGTAGGGTCATTGGTGCCACGCAGCATATTGACAGAATGTGCTTCGATGTGAGCTGTCCAGGAGCTTTCAGAACCCCCTTGCCCTTTCTTTTGGGAGCACTCTCACTTCCTGTGATTAGTGTTGATTGTGAACATGACCAAATCTAGAATCACTTGGGAATGCATCTCGAGGCATGCCTGTGGAGGATTGTCTTGACTGGTTAACTAATGTGAGAAGTCCCATCTTAATTGTAAATGGGACCACTCCCTGGGCTTTGGGTCCTGGATTGAATGAAAGGGAGAAGGGGAATTGTCTCTCTGTTGGTACTAGGAAGTGAACTTGGGTCCTTTGCATTATCAGTGTGTGTGTGTGAGTGTGTGTGTGTGTGTGTGTGTGTATGTGTGTGTGTGTGTGTGTGTGTGTGCGTGTGTGTGTGTGTATGTTTTCCCCTTTAGCATTTTAGAATACAAGATGTCCTTGTTGGTACCTGAAGGTATTGTAGCAAGGACTACATCTACGAATCTATAAACCAAAAAGGAAACAGGATTTGGGGTTGCCACAGCAGCATGGCTGAGGTTGCCTGTGTCAGAGCGGGTGTGTGTTCTGTTCTGTTCTGCAGGTCTGTTCCTCAGTCTCACTTTACTGCCACTAGTCACAATGCTTGGGACCAGGCCCTAGAACCTGCTTGTTTGATAAGCTCCACAGGTGATTCCTGACCACAGTGGAGTCTGGGAATCACTGCTTTTAAAGAACTGGGCGGTTCCCACCTCTCACATTCTGTGTCATCAGTACCCATCATTGGTAGCCCTGCCCATTGCTGAGATGGCAGTGTGGTTTCTGGAAAGCCACAGAACAAATCTGGAACCATCAAACTGTCCCATTTGTTTGTCATTTTAGTGAAAAAAATTCCACAGCCAGCTCTTTATCTCTTCGGATTTTGTCTGTTAAGCCTGAGAGATGATTTCAATCATTTAAACCTTGATCTTGATATAAAGGAAACTACAGTCTCTTAAGGGGGAACAATGGCGGTGCTGAAGAACTGAGGTAGACAAGTGAAGGGTCACTGCAGAGAAAAGGGAAATCAAAAGAAAAGGAGAGGCCGGAGCATCTAACAGCGACAATTGGTTCTTTGAAAGTTTAGTCCAGGCCTGGCCCTAAATGGCCAACTGAAGCTTTAATTCTCTGGTTGACTTTAGCATTGTAAGGAACTGAAAACGTTTGATTGTTTGTTTATTTACTTATTTGTAGTCCAGAGAATGCCAGCATGGACAGTGAGGTGCGTCAGGAAGTGGATACTCTACCTCTGGAGAAAGGAGGTAATCCATGGTGCCCGCCTTCATATTATCCAATGCTTCGTTACTTGGAACAAAAACGGTGTATGGGCCACCAACACCACCCTCATCTAGGGCCTGTTCAACATTGGTTGCCTGCATTTGAGAAATCAAATGTTTTATTTTTGTTCATGCAAATTAATATTTGAAGTAGTGGCCAGAAAATACGTAAAGTTGGCATTTCTGCTGATTTTTACAAAGGACTTAACCAGTGTTTTTCTGAAATGTACGAAAGGGCATACCTCTAACAAAGATCTGAACTTGCTGTATCTTGGTTGTAGCATTTTCATTATGGTTTGCTGAAAAGAGAGATTTTGCTGAAAAGTCAGTAAGAAAATCATAAAATGATTTAGGGAATATGAACCTTAACATTAAGAGACATGGCAGGTTAGTGTGAAAGCGTGGGCACGTATAAAGGACTTTATATAATGCTATGCATTCTGCAACTGCTTTGATTTGACCAGTCATCCAAATCTGTGCATTCTACTGCAGTCTCTGGCCATATCATGCAAGACAGGAAGAAGAAATTCTTTACAACTCTGACTGCTCTTCATGCAGCACAGGTGTGAACTGCCACGACAACAGAGCACCAGGCTGAGCTGTCCCATATGACCATAAATGAGGGTAAGAAAAATCCATGAAAACATTCCCAGCATGGCTTCCTTTCTCTCTGCAGAAACACTCAGAAGTCTACTGAAAATTGACAAGTTGTCCTGTCTTTTCTTAGCTTGAGACCCTCCTTGAAGGCTAAGTGCTGGCAAACACTTTCTTCTTGGATGTGAGTTTCCAGGCAGCAAAGAAGGTGGACATGGGCTGACCTCACTGATACTTGACTTGTCTCACCTTGGGGTTGCTCTCAAGTGTGGCCTCTGTCTTGTCCATGGCTCTGTCAAGGATGTGTATAAGCCCATTTGAAGCAACGATGTTCCCCTGGATTATTTTCACTTTTTTGCCTCCACGAAGTTGGAGCTTTAGTTGATTGTCCTAAAATATCAAAGAAAGAAAAAGTAAATAATATTAATAAGGCATTCTGGAAAGAAAACAATTAGAAGTCTGAAGTCCTGTGGCTGTGAGACTTGGAAGAAATCACATGATCTTACATGAGGATGAAGACGTCTGCCTGACTCACCTTGCACTGTTTCCACTAAGTTCAAATGAGATAGTGTATGTCATCACCGATGAGTATCACATGCAAAACTTTGGGCAAGTCAGTGTAGGATTTCCTCCAATAAGCTGCAAGTTCCACTAGGGTGGAACAATCCAATTGATTGCATTGCATCTCTCGCTTTAATACAGTGGTTTTCAACCTGTGGTTTGTGACCCCTTTGGGAGTCAAACAACCCTTTCACAGGGGTCACATATCAGATATTCTGTATATCAGATATGCACTACAATTCATAACAGTAGCAAAATTACAGTTATGAGGTAGCAACAAAATAATTTTATGGTTGGGGTAGCCACAACATGAGGAACTGTATTTAAAGGTTGCAGCATTAGGAAGGTTGAGAACTATTGCTTGAATATATTGCACAAAGAAGGTACACAATGCATACATTTGTTGAATGAGTGACTGGAGCTAATTGCTTCTTCCTCTTATGTGACTCTTAAGAATTACAGACAATAAATATCAATGAATGAATACATGGATATATGCATGTCCCATGTCATATGCACACTGCTCTATCCTGTTCTCACATCATCCAGTCTCTCACACATAGTGTAGCAGATTGGTGTCAGTTAGATCCACACTTGAATCCTGGCTCAGATATTTTCTGTGTGACCTCTCCACTGTCCCATAGGAAAAATAAGGATTCTCATAAGCCCTCTTTCCAGAGTTGTTTTACATAATGCAAATAAAGATTTACACCTGTACTTAGCATGGAAAGAACACTCAACAGTCTGACAACTATTGATACTAGGTGAAATACAACAGCCTAGGACACAACACACACACACACCTATTAATCACAGGTCCCCAGCTTAGTAGTAACACAAACAGTTTGTGAAGGGAAGTGAGGTAGTCTTATTAAAAATAGAAAACAAGGCCGGGCGGTGGTGGCGCACGCCTTTAATCCCAGCACTCGGGAGGCAGAGCCAGGTGGATCTCTGTGAGTTCAAGGCCAGCCTGGACTACCAAGTGAGTTCCAGGAAAGGCGCAAAGCAACACAGGGAAACCCTGTCTCGAAAAACCAAAAAAAAAAAAAAAAAATAGAAAACAAGCAGAATGAACAAAGACAATGGATCAATGCCAGCAACCTAAAGCAAACACATTCCACTCACTTCCTTTCCTAAGAGGAATGCTGATGTTTTGGGGCCAGGGCTTCCAGGAAGCAGGCTCACAGCACTTGAACTTCATGGTGGTGGTAAACCAGCCTGCCTCCCTCTTAGGCTTGAAAGACATTTTATAGTAAAGACAAAGTAGTTTCATTCCTATTTTTGGTTAAATTGATTTCTCTAGGATTGGGCTATGCCCCACCTGTAACCTTAACTACAAATGGTTCTGTACTGCCTCTTCCAGGAAACAACAACCATGTCTTTGTTTCAAAGGGTTATTATGACCACCTCTTGTTATGACCACCTTGTTATGACCAGCTTGCAACCATGCCTTTGTTTCAGGAGGTTGTTATGACCAACTTGTTATGCTTATGTTCTGCTCCTGTTTTCTCGCCAAACCCCCCATTTGGAAACCCCCTACTCCAGAACTATAAAAACCCTTATCTCGCCCATGCCCAATGCTGATCTCTTGAACCTCACCATTAGGGAGAAATAGCTCATGTACACGCACCAAAAAAAAAAAAAAAAAAAAAAAAAAAAAAAAAAGCTTGCTTTAATTAATTGCTTGCTCTAATAATTTGGCCATGATGATGGGTCAATGGTCTTTCTCCTCACATCTGTGGGATTAACAGTGGCAGCTGAATGATGGTTGCCTTGAAAGCTAACTCAAGCCAGACCCAAGCCAAACACTAGAGTCCCCCTTTTTTGTAACAGTTTTTCTAACTCCCTCTGGCCCCCTTGTTGCCCTAGTGTGTCACAGGAGTGAAATTCAGAGAAATTCTGACCTCATCCCTGTTGAAGATTTCCCCTGACTTTCCAGTCAATGTATAGAAGATGTCTGTGTCGTTCATCTGTTCCATGCTCATCTGCCCAGCAATGATGTGGAGCTTCACAAAGTACCGAGCAGCCTCGCTGTCCATCAAAAGCTCCTTTACCTAAGAAAAGAGAGCCAGCTGGGATGATGTTTGAAGGAAATGAGTGTTTATAATCCATTCCATGCCTCATTCATCATCAAAGACACCCAAGCTGGAGTGCCCTGTGGGGCTCTGTCAGACAGAGATGATGCTTCAGGTGAGCACAGGCCTTGAAGGGAGTGGAAACCAGAGTCAGAGTTGATGGCCAGTACACTGGCAGACACCAGGGGATGCCCCCCTAGAACTGACATGGTACCTAGGGGAGAAAGAGGGTACCAGGCCAAAGGATCCAGGAGGGGGACCAGAAGGAAAGCTTCTCAAGGTTTTTTTTTTTTTTTGAATGAAAAGAGAAGGTAGCCCGAGTGCTGGAGCCACAGGTGTGTACCACCCCAGGCTTTTAAAAGGTGCACTTAGTTAACACGATTAAAGAGCAGACCATCAAAAAGAAAAAGCAGGTAGAATGGAAGGATGATGCTTGTGAACAGTAAACTTACGGGACCAAGTCTGCGTTTCTGTTACTACTCCATAGTCAACAGTCAACACATACTTTTAAAATGAATTCTGTAAAAATTTCATATACTAAAGAGGAGGACTCCCCCCACCCCCACCCCGCCACCGCCACTGCCCAAAGTGCCTTGGATGAAGGCTTGTGACGTTGTCCTTTCTCCACAGCAGAAGAGACACAGGAGATTTCAAAAGCTTATGCCAGGTCCCTCTCTCCCTCTCTCTCTCTCTCTCTCTCCCTTCCTCTCTTCCTCTCTGTCTCTCTGTCTCTGTCTGTCTCTGTCTCTCTCTCTCTGTCTCTGTCTCTCTGTCTCTGTCTGTCTGTCTCTCTCTCTCTCCCTTCCTCTCTTCCTCTCTGTCTCTCTGTCTCTGTCTGTCTGTCTGTCTCTCTCTCCCTTCCTCTCTTCCTCTCTGTCTCTCTGTCTCTGTCTGTCTGTCTGTCTGTCTGTCTCTCTCTCTCTCTCTCTCCTCTCTCTCTCCCCCTGCTGCCTACGGGTCAGGATGCAAGCTCCTAGCTACTGCTCAATCACCATGCCTCCCTGTCACCACGGCCCCCTCCACGATGGTCATGGACTCACCCTCTGAAACTGTAAGCAAGCCCCCAGTTAAACGATTTCCTCTATAAGCTGCCTCGGTCATGGTGTCTCTTCACAGCAATAGAACAGTGACTCAGACACCCAGCATCCTTATCTTGACTGTAATAGAGGTTTCTCACTTTAAATAAGATACTGCCTGCTCAGGCCTTTTATGTTGGCCCCTCGGATGGGGTTGTTTTAGATACTCACGTCAAATCCTTTCAGTGCCATGTCTGAGGGCAGCAGCACTGTGAAGGGTCCCAGGTTGCTCAGTGGCCAGGCATAGGTTCTGTCTTAAGAGTCCAAACACACAACGAAAGAAAATGTCATGAGGGTCAGAGGTGCATGGGAAGTGAAAGTGTTAGGGTGTGTGTGTGTGTATGTGTCTTGTGTCGGGCCGGTCTGTTCTGTTGCTCTGTGGTGTCGTTGGTAAACTGAGACTCTCTAAGAGCAGACAGTACTGTGATGTGCTGGTTTTACATATTCCTGGAACTCTCTAAGACTTATCTGTGGCTTCTGGATGCTCTGCCATGAAAGGGCGGGGTGTGACAAGGTCTTTGGACACTCCCTACATCCCTGACCATGTACCTGGCTGGCTGAGCTGCTCATCTTCACCTGTAAGGAAGCAGCCCTTGGTTCCATCCAAGGGCAGCTCAGAGGAGCCCACCATAGACTTCCTGTTCCATGGGCGCCCTCTTGAAAAGCAGAATATTTGAACAAAGGACCTTGCATTTGCATTCTGCTCTGAGCCTTGCAGGTTACTTACATAGCTAGCGGGTTTCCATCACCCAGGGGATGCTGGGACTTTACACCAGGCTCTGTGCTGTCACATAGGAGCAAGATGCCTGGGGAAGGTGAAAGGTAAACAGGGCTCTGTCTAGGCAAATGTTTGTATGTGGCGTCGATTCTTCAGAGGACACTCTGCACTTCCTGTTCTCATGTAGTGTCCTGGGATTGCTGCAGGGTTCTTCTCAAGCCCAACCACGTCTGAAGTGCTTGATTCTCCCTAGGAGGCCTTGCAAAGAGTAGAGTATCACACAGGAATGAGAGTAAAAACTATTCAGAGAACACAGCATTGGCCTGCAAGGACACTGACTTCTTTACTGTGTCCTTTCTGGGAAATCGTTTTAGCACGCTCGGCCAGTTCTCACATCAATGCTGCCATTTTAAGGTTTCTGTTTGGTCAGGTCTGTGTTTTATATTTTTGCTGATTGGCCGAATCCATGCTTGGCTGAGGTCTTACCCAGTGCTCTGATGAGCTGTGATGTCCTGTCCTTCAGAGGATGGGGGAATGGTTTGTGGAAGGCATTTGGGGACGCATGAGCATGCTTTGTGCTATCATGCTGCCTAGGGCTCCAAGAATATCTGTTACCACTACGGGTTAATTAGTAGCTTCCAGCTAAGGGTGAACACAAGCAAGATTTGTCCAAAATTCAAATGACACCTTCCCCGCTGCACATGGATACGACCATGGAGCTTTAGTGATTCTCTATTCTCCGTGTTCTCTGCCAACGTTTATTCATCCTTGAAAAACATAGGAAGTTTAGGCAAAAAGGGACAATCTCTTACATCAGTGGCTGTCCCTCGCGCTCTTGTTGCTAGTCTGTTAATCTATGGCGACGTCATGACCCCGGCCTCAGTTCTCTGGCTATTAATCTTGTATTGCTCATCTGCCTGGCAACAGCTGTCTCCTTGGAAACAGCCATCTACTCTTCCTCATCCCCAGCATGGCCTATCCCTACAAGGGTGAGCCCCAGTGTACCAGCTTCGTCTGTCCCTTTCTGCCTGCTTGTGCTTTGCAGAGGCCCTGGCTTGAGAGAGGGGGGGCTGCCCTTGAGGAGGAACTCTACATACCCAGGACCGAGATGAAAGAGGTCAGCCTTCCCTGCCACATTCCTCTGGGTTCAGTGTTCAATTCTCTGAGTCTCTCCATGATGCTTCCATAGCAGGTCAGGCCGTCGCCCATGTAACCTTTCTGGCAAGTGCATCTAGAGAGAGGGTGGAATCACATTCTCAGGGCCTTGGGGCCATTGAGCTGAGAGGACACAGCCCAATGCTTCATTTCACAGTTAAGGAGAGCCATATGATGGACGGGACTGGAGAGGCCGGGAGAGGCACAGACTTAGTGAGCCGTCAGCGCAGAACCTGGTTGTTTTTCCAGCAGGGGTTTAGAGACTATAACACACACACACACACACACACACACACACACACACACACACACACACACACTTATAAACACTGGATAGCTTTGTATGTTCTTAGTAGAAGTAATTTGCAGAGTGCAGTCCAGACACCATCCACATAAGAACCACTTGTGATGTTTGCAACAAATGTAGACTCAAGGGCCTCCATGCACGACAAGCTACCCAGGAGGCTTAAAATCGACTGCCAACTTGGTCGGCTCTAGAGCCACCTTGGAGGCAAATCTATGGACATGCCTTGGTGAGATTATCTAGCTTAGGTTCACTGAGGAGGGTAAACCCACTTTAATCGTGGGGGGCACCACTCACTGGACTGGGATCCTGGACTGAACAAAAAGGGGAAGGACTGGGCACAAGCACTCATCACTCTGCTTCCTGATCACAAGTGTCCTCCCTGCTTCCTGACCACAAGTGTCCTCCCTGCTTCCTGATCATAAGTGTCCTCCCTGCTTCCTGATCACAAGTGTCCTCCCTGCTTCCTGACCACAAGTGTCCTCCCTGCTTCCTGATCACAAGTGTCCTCCCTGCTTCCTGATCACAAGTGTCCTCCCTGCTTCCTGATCACAAGTGTCCTCCCTGCTTCCTGATCACAAGGGTCCTCCCTGCTTCCTGATCACAAGGGTCCTCCCTGCTTCCTGATCACAAGTGTCCTCCCTGCTTCCTGATCACAAGTGTCCTCCCTGCTTCCTGATCACAAGTGTCCTCCCTGCTTCCTGATCACAAGTGTCCTCTCTGCGCCCTGACTGCAGATGCAGCTGTCTCCAGCTCCTGGTGCTGTGACTCCCCAGCACCATGCCTCGGAGCCCACCCCCACTCTGAGTCAGCTCTCCTTGCACGCCCTCTCACTGTACTGTAAAGCCTGATCAGTCTGGTTATGTGATAAATATCTACTTCCTCTCCAGTGAGAGCAAAGGCTTTGGGTGTCTTTGTTCATGGTGGTCACTCCAGAATGTAGAACAGGGCCAGGTCTTTAAGACATTCCTGATCAATCGTCACCCACTAAGCAGGAATTAAGTCAAATATATATGCTTGAGGAGCCAGAGAAACCACAGAAATTTAATGCAACAATTTAGTTTCGTAAGAAAAAGAGGCGAAAATGTGTTAGCTGTGGCATGCTGGCCGATGTCTAAGAACTGACTCTCAAGGGGCGGGCGGGAAAGCATTGACTGACAGCATTTGACAATCTCAGCGGTTTATCAGTGTACCTTGGCTAATTTCAGACTACTAACATGGTGTCAAGAAGTCTGGGAAATTCCTGAAAATGTAGCACTCGGCTCTGAATCAGGTGGCACTGGCAGCCGCCTGCCCCTTTTCAGAAGACTTCACAGCTGAAACCGAGACAGTGTGTAGGAAGGTGAGATTGACGAGGATCCGGGAGATAAATGAGGGACCAAGCGGGAGGAAGGGGAAGAACTTTCCAGAGAGTAGAGCTAAGGGAGCTGCAGAGGTACTGGTAGGTTCCCACCAAGCACAGAGGTGATATGTTTGGGGCTGTATCCCAGAGAATAGCTACACTCTCACGAACCCATCTATGCTCTTGGAAAACAGATCTATCTTCAAGTCTGTGGGACAAACCTCTCAGAATCCTGTTGCCTGGACTGCAGCCATGGTCTTTTAACTGGACTTTCTGCCTTTCTTGTTCTGTTCTCCAATCCACCCTTCACTGAACCTCAAAGTGATTTCCTCCAAAGAGAAACCTGTTACCGAATGTCCCAACCCACCTGACTCCTTCTCTTACAGAATAATATACAAGAACTGGGCCCACCATAAGCCCCAGAAGCGCTAAACTGATACATGTTTTAAATAGGATCTCACTATGTAGTCCAGGCTAGCCTCAAATTCTCAAGCCTCCTGCTCCAGCTTTCCAAGTTCTTCGACACAGTTGTACCACACCATACTTTGTTTTCTTTTAAAAGGCTGATATGTCCTTTCTCTGACTGCCTCTACGGACAGTACTGACCCTTCATCTGACCGTTAAGTGCCACACCATACTAATTAAGGAGTGGGAGCTAATGAAAGATTACAGCTCTGTGAAGTGATGTGGTCCTCAACCATGGAGATTTAGTCTCAGTACAAGCCACACGGGCTGCATCTGAAGACAATTGCCAGGACACGATGTGGAACTCTTGCCAGCTCCTAAGGATCTTTCTTTCTGCCAGTCCTTATGAGGTCAACGGCCTGTTTCATGGGAAGTGAGAATCCTGTCTTAATGGCCTCAGCATTGAGGAATGTAGGAGACATAACTATTTTAAATTTTTACTTTAAACCTCAGGCCAAAGTCCAAGCCTTTGTGATGGTTTTCTGACTTGAATATTCTCAGTTTTTCTGTGGTGCAAAGAGGTGGAACCTTCTTGCCTCTTTGGTGAAGAGTTTTTTTTTTTATTGAGTATAAATATCTTCCATGGTCTTAAGGCTTTAAAAACACCCACAAGCCGTTTGCATTTTATGTTGTGTGTCAGCATTAGTAACTCTGGATGTTGTGTAAGTTGAGCTGGTGTAGTTATTCCAGAGATCTTAGATCAGCTGCTTCCTTCATTTCTTTTATTCCAATCACTCAGGAGATTTCAACAGGAGAATTTAGGGAGTGATAGGTTAGGAGCTGGGGACATGTTAGGTCATCAAGGTGGAGCCTCACAATGGGATTAATGCTCTTAGGAAAGGGACTTGGAGCACTCACCAGCCCCCTTTCTACTGGACGTAATGAACAAAAAGACCTGACTGCTGATCCAGAACATCACTAATGTTCACCACTGTTGCACTTTTGTGTGGTTGGAATGTGAAACTTGCTGTTTTCAAGCTGACGTTTCAGCCTGGCTCAGTCTGGCTCGGGTTCTTTTCAGTCAAGATGAATTACATCAGTGGAAGCTCCTCTCCTCTACCTATTGCCCCTCATTTCCTACCCTACTGATTAGTAGAATGGGAAGTGACGCCTATCACAAGAATGACACCATTTGCTCTTTTTAGCAATAGTAAAAATAGAGTTTAGAGAGCAAATGTAGCCAGCTCTTCATGGGAAAAGGTGGTCTCTTGCTCTCTCCTAAGGTAAGGAGATTGTGTTTAGAGTTTAGACTTCGTCAAGATGACCCTAGTGATGAGTGGTGGAGTTTACATTTGAGCCCTTCTTCCTGATTGGTGGTCTCCTGTTACTAATGGTATGGGTTTGAGAGTCTGCAGAAACTTGCTGTGTTGAGACATAACTTAACAAATCCTTTAATCCAGATCAACTATTGTACATTGCTCAAGAGACAACGGCTTCTCCTTTTACCAATCTCGTCCAGTCAGACTTTCTGTCTTGGCCTCTTTAAGGTGCAGATGTTTTGCTTTCTGGGGGAGGAAAAGGTAGGAAGGCTGACAAGTGGCGCACACGGTCCTAAAATTCATTGTTGGTTCTAGTGAACACCCTAAACACAGGTTTGGTTGAAGCTCACACTGTTCTGTTATTCTGTTTTCATTTTTCTATTTCTGTCTTTCTGAACATGAAGGAGAGAGATCCTATTAGGTGGTCTGCTCAGACTTTCTAGCAGGGAGGTAAAAGGAACATGCTGGTTTATTTATCTCTCCACTTCCCTAGACTTGGAGGAGGAGGTGTGCCCATGTATTCATGTGTCTTGAGGGCCAGTGTACCTCAATGCATGGCTGTGGTTCGCTGGTGTGTGTTATTTCTGTGTAAGTCTCTGCTCAAGGCAAGACAAAGGTAATTTCATATGGTCCTCGTCACAGTCCTGATTGGAGATACAGTTCTCTCCACTCTATGGCTTAAGAACCATTAGCTCATGGAGGTTAAGTGACAGAGTTGTAATGTAAGCACAGGGGTCCTGATATCCAAGCCTGGTACTCCATCCACATCTAGTATATTTATCTACAGAGAGTGCGATGACATAAAATTCATCTGAGAAAAACCCTGCGCACTGAAGACCCAATTATAAAGGATAAGCCTTGAGAAAGTTGAAGTGGCTGGCTTCTGGGAGGAAAGAGACAGTTTTATGATTGCCTGATTAGATGTAACCACGGTTTTGAGCTCACAGATGAAGCATATGTCCTTCATAGAGGTGGATGGCTATGAGAACTAAGTGGCACAGACATTGGTCTGAGAGTCTAAGGACATGGGTTATAGCTTCCGCTCAATCCCTAGTGAAAACACAGCACGCCCACTTGGAGTTTGTACAACAGCATTTCCTCACATCACTGTCCCTCAGCTCTAATGAGTAGACATCACTTTTGTGTACACAGGCATGTAGTGTCCCCTTTCCAAGGGCATGCACTGGGGAGGTACCAAAGCCATGATTTAACCTCATCTCTCTCTCTCTCTCTCTCTCTCTCTCTCTCTCTCTCTCTCTCTCTCTCTCTCTCTCTCCCCTCCCTCTTTCCCTCCTTCCCTCCCTCCCTCCCTCCCTCCCTCCCTCCTTACTTTCTTTCTTGAGACAGGGTCTCATTAAGTCACCCTGGCTGCCTTGGAACTTGCTGTGTAGACAAGGCTGGCCTCAGAATCACAGAGCTATGATTGCCAAGTGCTGGGATTAAAGGCATCTGCCACCATGCCCAGCTTAACCTTCGGTCTTTAAACTCTCCTCATCATTCCCCTCCCACAATGAAAGTTGCCCCTGCCTTGGGAATTCGCATCCAAATGTTTTCCCTCATGGTAAACTTGCTCTAAAACTTGGTGTCCAGGAAATAACCTCTCATGCTTATTCACTTTTTCCAGTCTTATTCTGTATCATTCACAAGCACTGTCCCAGGAATGTTGAAGCAGGAGTGTATGTTAGTGGCCTAACTACTGCAATCCCAACAGCCATTTGTTTCCCCAGGTACAGCAGTTTCCTTTGGGTTCTGTTCCCTTAAGCCCAAATATTGGGCCAAGTCAATGCTCAGAGTATTCTCACAGTCATCAGGCAGGAAATAAGTATTGACTGACTCACCAATTAAACAGATCTAAGGAATACTTATTATGCCCCTTACTACCTGGGATGGAGTGGATATAGGGCTGATTAAGAAATGCTCCACCCCCCCAAAAAAAAAGAAAAGAAAAAAAGAAAAAAGGAAAAAAAAGAAATGCTTCCTCTCCTTCAAGGAACTTACCACATTGACTGGTTCCCACTTCCTCCATCTGGGAAAGATCTAGTGAGATGGAGAAGACTTACTGGGTCTGGCCTGGTGCGATGGTGCTGCAGTTCGCATTCTTATGACATGGGTTGTTTGATTCACAGACGTTGGTCATACTGCACCCCACTCCTGGTACAAAATCACGGTAATGTTCTTTACACTCGCAGTGAGACTTTAAGAGATGGAGAGAGAAAAAACAAAATGAAACAAACAAACAAGCAAAAAGAGATGGAGAGAGAAAACCAAACTGGACTCCAGTTAGTCTCATCAGCTGCTACTCTTTAATCTATATGTATATTCTCCCACAGGCGATAACAGTAAACAGGACTGAGTGTGGGCTTACACAAAACACTTGTCAAAATTTCCAGAAATAGAACTCATGGTTGTATATCCTTCCTGTTAGAAAGCTCATATCCCTTGTTTGCAAAGTTTGGATTTTTAATTTTATTGTTTTCTGAACCTTAACCCCACACATGAATCCCTTTAGACAGCTTGTAGGTCAATAGAGGATGTCATTCAGATGGGAGGTACCATTCCTCTAGAATACTGGTTTTCAGTGGAGGAGGAGACCTGGACAATATCTAGAGAAACTTTTCACTGTTACAAGAAGAGGTACTAGAGATGAAGGATGCTGTAAACATTTTACCCAACAAAGAATGATGCAATTCAAAATATGCACAACACTGAGATGAAAAATCCTGAGGTGATGCAATATGTTGCTTCTATATGAAAAACAAAGGCTCCCTAAGCCCTCGAAGCCTGCCTTGGGGCTCATTTTTAAAGAGACAAAGTCTTATCTTAGGTCTCATTTCTAAGCTCTGACATTCATGGCATAGCATGGGTTTTCCCACAGCAGCCTGCATATTAAGAAAGAGAACTTTGAGTTCTTTGAGTTTTTTTTATTATGCAAACCTGGCTCAGAAATTGGTGTGGAGAATGCTGCATGATACACCTACTCCTCAGGGGGAAGATAGAGCAGATTCTCTGCAGAATTCGACAACATTCCCACCAGGGGCACCCTGTGCTTGGGTTATTCACTGAGCCTTTTCTTCATCCTATGTAACAATTCTCCACATGAACATGACTGTAGTCAAGGCCACAATTAGTATCCACTAAGTACTTAATAGACAAGTCTAAGTACTTTATGGACCAGTCTAAGTACTTGATGGACAAGTCTTACAGGGGACAGGGCTCTTTCGACTGTTCTCCTCAGTAAAGTTCTCCAGGCCAGGGCAATTTTTTTAATCACTGAAGGTCATAATGAAATTCAGAGGGATGGTGTCTTGCCCACGATATCCTCAGTCCCTACAACCAGTCAGTGTTGCTGGCTTTTGCTAAGTTTCCATCCTTTTGGGCTCTTAGGATCTCCCTTAATCCAAAATGACATTACTGAGATCAGAGAACTGAAGGTGGATGTTGACTGCATTCATATGACTTTGGTCAAACTAATCCAGTCTAATTTTGAATTCTGTCTGTATTTTGTCAGTCTCCACATGGGATGAGGTTTGGAGATAATACAGGGCGGCTAAGTCTTGACTTGGGGTGGGGGCTGGGAATGTGGAGTTTGGCGGACAGATAGCTTAGGGAAGTCCTGTGATCAGGCCCTGAACGCAATGAGGACTGCCTAGAGAGGAACATCAAACTGAGCATGGGGGACCAGAACAGGAAGGCCCCCAGTGTCTGGGTTACTAGAGCTCCTGTCCCTCTTTCTGGACACATCAGTTCCATGTGTTTTTAGCTCACCTGTCCAGGCCCATCGTATTTGCACACTGTAGACTTTGTAGGGCAGTTTCCAAAGTTTGTTTGGCAGGGGTCTACTGGAAGACACACTTGACCGTCCCCGACGTAGCCTTTTTGGCACGAGCAACTGTGCCGATTTGGCCCCAGGTAGGAACAACTCGCGTGAGGGTGGCAGATGTTTTTTAAACACGGGTTGATGGCTTGAGAGACAGTGAGACAATGAGAGATGGTTAGCACACTCAGAGATGGAGGAGAGAGAAACGCCATGCCAGGAAACTGTGGCTCAAATGAACCACAGGCACAAAGGCAGTTGGGTAGTAGTGTTCAGGAGGAAAAAGATCCTTTCGTCCCATTTGACTACCCCGCTCTACCAAACAGATTCACACAGGAACATCAGGAATCATAATTGTGAATTCTGTGTTGATGTGGTCTCTTCACGTGCTTGACTACAGAAGGGGAATCTGCCATGCTTTGAAGAGCCCCAAGCTTTCGGCTGGAGCTCTGTGTATTTCTTACGGAACTACGCAGAAGCACAAACAGGGTGGGTTCCTACTCACGCTTGCAGTGTTGGCCATCACCTTCGTAACTGGGAAGGCATTTGCATTTGAGTTGGGTTTCATCTTTGCTGGAAGGTGAGCATCTGGAGTTTTCTGGGCAGAGCAAGGCGGCACACTCAGGGATGGCTACACAGGAAGACAATGGAGGGACTCCCCTTAGTAGGATAATTGTGATTGTTTGGAGACAGGACCTCTTGTAACTTAGGCTGGCTTCAAACTTGCTAAGTAGTCATGGTCCTTTGCAACAGGGTCTCTCACTGGAGCTGAGATAGGCTCATAGCCAGTAAGCCCCAACTATCCCCCTGTCTTTGGGTCCTACGGTGCTGGAGTTCTATGTGTGCAAGCCACACCCAGCTCTGGTGTTTAAACTCAGGTCCTCATGCTTCCACAGCAAGTTCTCTAATCCACGGAGTCGCCGCCCCAGCTCTGGGACTTACTTTTAACCACAACAACCACTAAACAGGCAACTGGGCAAAGATACCATGTCATGGAAAAAATGTTGAGTGATCTGTGGAATTATGAACTAACCCAGGCTAGAAGGTCTTATGGCATGGGTGAGGTGCATATTTCCACTCTCTATGTTTCTCTCATCAATTTAAATAATCCCAAAGTAGCTCATGGCTTTGATGTGGTGCTCTGGTATATGGCTTGAGAACCATAATGTTAAACCCTTGAAGTTTTTTGTGCTTATATCATATAGAAGTTGGCATTAACTTAACTAGTTTAGGACGTACCTAAATTTATTCATCCAAGTTCAACACTCAGGTTATTTCCAGCTTGTTTTTTCTTACAGATGCTAAGCCCTGGATTTATTGGTCCATGTGTTTTTACCTACCCGTTCCCAGCCCTCCCCATTTTCAGGGTAAATTCCTACAAGTAGGGCCTCAGCACTCCTCCCTTTGCTGGTAGGAATCTACACCTCCACCGCCATCCCTCTTTCCCATAGATGGTCATAATCCATCTGCAAACTGAGGAATAGAATGGGCAAGAAATCAAAACTGAACAAAATCACCCTCCAGAGTTGTCACCTGACTTCAGTCTGGTGTCATGTGTGTTAGCGCAGTTACTTGTGGGCTTCTCACCCTGTGGTTATTGCTGCTTCTCATGTCTGATTCTGAGCATTAGCTGCTCCTAGGTCTATTTTTAAAACTCAGCCATGGTCTTCACATTAATAAAAGTGTACCTGCCATGAGTATTACAAATATTTTTTTGTCCCATTCTCTTGTTTATCTTTTGATTTGACAAAAATTATTTTTCACTCAGAAGCGAGTTTGACAGTGTTCTTCCTTGGGAAGCTTTCTGGACTGGGTCCTTGTCTTGCTGAGAAGGCATCTGTTCATAGGTCCACTGGGCAGTGATGGGTGGAGGTTGGAAGGAGGCTGATTGAGGTCACAGAGGTCATCCCGCCCACCTGGGGCTCCTGTGAATGGACAGTTTGCAGGGCGGTCTCCTCTGCCGAGGAGAGAGGGCTGGTTCATGGACTTGCCACTCCCACAGTACATACACACCTCGGGCTTTCAATAAAAGGAGTTTGTCCTCTGAGGAATTCCAAACTTTTCTAACCTTTTTTATTCTATAGGAGTCTAAAATCCAGAAGATAAGTTGACTGAGCCTAGCGTCACAGGTGAAATATGACCAAGATGTTTGTTTTGTTTGTTTTTTTGTTTTTTAAATATCTCATTTTCCAATTCACTTGGTGGAAACTGCTTTGTCATGGCTGAGCTAGGACTGAATAGGGGTGTGAAAGGAAGGTTCTCCTTTCTAGAGAGAATTAAGTCTTACCAGTAGAGGGCGCTGGCAGGGCAATGTAACAGGCAGGAGCAGCTCTGGGATGCAGGGCAAAGAGCTCAGCGTGTTGCTGCTGCTACACAGGCCTCAGTGGGATGTCTGCCCAGGCTATGCACCCAGAGGGCACTGTCCTTCTGTAATGCTGCATCCCGGGCCTGGACCCAGTGCTCACTTCCTACAGCCCTTCCCACAGAGACACTAAACACTCTAGGTTAACCTGTAGCCTGCATCCTGGCTTACCAGCCTCACTCACCAGGTCCCCAGAGGGCTGCTCAGGACTGCCACGTGACTGTGGTCCAATGCTAGCCTGGGGGAAACCATCAATTTCTTGACTTTCCAGTGGGCTGCCATCATGACCATGTCTAACCAGGCGTGGGGATGGCCACCTCCTTCCAGGTATGCCCTTCCTGAGTTCTCCCCGTGCCCTGGAGTTCTCTGTGGTTTCCAGCCACTCTTCCACAGTGTCCTCACCTTCTACCGGCCCCCCTTTGTCTAACTCACCCCTGCTCTTCATCTTCAACCTGGACCTGGTGTCATAGACTGTTGAAATGATTTCCCACGGGCCCCAATGCTTTGAACCCCACTTCTGTTTGCCATTCCTGTGCCCTTGGGTAAGTCACATGGCTTTGGAGACTCTTCTGTTGTCTGTGATTGTTGATGTTTCTGTAACTCCGAACATTCTTTGTCTCCGTTATGGACTAGCTTACTGCGATGGCCCCTCTTGGTCTCCCAGCCTGAATCCTTCCCTCTGCGCCCCCTCCCTTCACGCTGCCTCCTGCTCAGCCTCCCTACAGCACAGCTCTGGCCACGCCACCCACTGCTCTACCCACCTCCCCCCTTTCTTAACTCTTTAGCTCTTTTTACCGTGCTTGCTTAATTTTTGGCCTCCTCTTACAAAACATTTGACAACCCATCACTCCCCTTCCCCCAAGGTGGAGCCCCAGTAACAAATGGAGAAGAGAAACATATCCCCGCATCTCTTTGGTCTGGTGTAGCCGGGAGGAACCAGAGTCACTTACGCTTGTCACACCTGGGGCCCCTGTACGCAGAGAAGCACTCGCAGGTTCCGTCACCGTTGAGTCCGCTGTTGCACACACCGTGGGCACAGTTGCACACTGGAGGCAGACAATGGGGGAGGGGTCGTTATCTCAAAGAGATTGCTCCTAAAGACCCTGGAAGGGTCACAGTCTCAGACAGCCCTTCTGAGACTCTCTGCACAATGAGGTGGGGGAGACTCCCAGAGAGACTAGCTTGAATCTTGGCTTCGTGTTTCTTTTATTTGAATTGGGATTTTCAGTGTGTAAGGCAGACAATGGTGCCTATGTCTGGCACATCATGAGCACATCTCTTCCCTACTGAGCTGTTTGCTTCACCTTTGGATAGCCTGGCGGCAGGACTGACTTAGTGTCTTCCCATGAAGAGAAGAACTCCCCCGACTCCGTCCCTGTTGGTGGCTGACGTCTCTGTAAGCAAATCTTACTTCTTGAATGACGAGGGCAGTGCAAAGACCAGAAAAGAAAAGGAACCCGCTAGGGCCCAGAATGACTCTATCCTGTTTTCTGCTCGAAACAGATGGCATCTCAGCCTAGTGACGGGTCATGGACGGCAAATGAAGGGCCTTCGATATGAGTGGTCAATGCTTCTGCACCCAGCTGGTGGCTCATCTGTTACAGGTTACTCTCAAGCCAGCCCCCAGCATGCTGAAGCCAAGACTCCCACAAAGCATGCTCTGTGAGGTTTCTGTTGCCACTGTGACAAGCCATCCTAAAGAGGAGCCTGAAACAGTCCAGGTCCATTCGGCAGTTCTGGAGGACAGAAGTACAAACGTCGCATCAGATCAAAATCAAAGCTGCAGAAAGGTTGCGTTTCCTCTGGAACCTCTTCTATCACCTTTCCAGATTCTGGGAAGATCCCATGTTTCCAGGCTCATGACCCCTCTCTCCACTTTCAGATGAACTACCGAGTCCTTCTCACACTGATGTCTCTATGGTTACCTCCTCAGGCCCCCCTGTAACCACACTGTGCCCACCTGGGCAATCAGAGCAATCTCTTTATACCGAACCGACTAGTTAGCAGCCCTGATCCCACCACAACCTTAACTACCCTCTGTCATGTAACCTAATATGCTCACGGCTTCCAGGGTTAGGACATGGCTCTTTGTGGGGTAAGGAGCAGTGTTCTGCCTATGGGACATGCCTTTCATGCTGTGAGTACACTTCATATAAGCTCAAATGAGTTGCAATTACAAAGAGGTACTTGCTCAACAACAACAACAACAACAAAATATTAGAAACTCATGGGTTACTAAGTTTAAAGTTTTCTAAACACCTGAAATTGCACCAGACCCTTAGTATTCTTTGTCTGCCTCTCCTTCCTTGACATCCTGCTCACTGTCTTACTGGTCCTCATCCAGGTCCTTTCCAAGCTTCATCTGGACTGCTGCAGTGGTGTTGTATTGCACTGTCTCCAGTCTGTGCCAGCCCATCCACTGTTGTGGTTTACACACTTGATTTCTAAGTGTCCAGGATGAATCCGCTTTGTTCCCTTCCATTTTCATGATTAGACAGCAAACGGCCATGCTCAGAATACTGTGCTAGACCAGTCTCCATCCTCAAAGGGTCCACAGTGCAATGGCAGAAGGAAACAACCGATCACAGCACAGTGTGACACACGCTCCCACCCAACACACCAATGGGAGTTGGCTAGGAAGAGGTGGGATGGGGGCAGGCTCTGTGAAGACCACACTAGGGGGAAGTAGCAGGTGCATCCTATACCCATGCACCCTGTGTGTCCTGCACCCATGCACCCTGTGTGTCCAGGAACCCATGCACCCTGTGTGTCCTGCACCCATGCACCCTGTGTGTCCAGGAACCCATGCACCCTGTGTGTCCTGCACCCATGCACCCTGTGTGTCCAGGAACCCATGCACCCTGTGTGTCCTGCACCCATGTACCCTGTGTGTCCTGCACCCATGCACCCTGTGTGTCCTGCACCCATGCACCCTGTGTGTCCTGCATCCATGCACCCTGTGTGTCCTGCACCCATGCACCCTGTGTGTCATGCACCCATGCACCTTGTGTGTCCTGCACCCATGCACCCCGTGTGTCTTGCACCCATGTACCTTGTGTGTCCTCCACCCATGCACCCTGTGTGTCCTGCACCCATGCACCCTGTGTGTCCTGCACCCATGCACCCTGTGTGTCCTGCACCCATGTGCCCTGTGTGTCCTGCACCCATGCACCCTGTGTGTCTTGCACCCATGCACCCGGTGTGTCCTGCACCCATGTGCCCTGTGTGTCCTGCACCCATGCGCCCTGTGTGTCCTGCACCTATACACCCGGTGTGTCCTGCATTCATGAACCCTGTGTGTCCAGCACCCTGTGCATTGGCTTCTGTTACATCCCTTTGATGGGACAGCCCACTTCTGTAGTGCCATTTCAGGAGTCCCCAAACAGATGTTTTGCTCCTGTGGGCTCCGGCTCCTCCCTGTGTCCCATCATCTTCCGGCACTGTCTCTGCACTGGGTGACTGGCAGGCACAGGCAGCCTCTGAAGCTTGTGACACTGCACCGCGGGTCTGTCAGTCACTGCCAGGAAATTGTCCTTGGGAAGGAGAGGTGAGGAGCGGAGGGCTTCCCAGGTGCTCTCCTAAAGCCCTCAATGCATTATGAACTGGTTGCAGCAAATCTCTAGACAGTGGTTCTCAACCTTCCTAAGGCTGCAGCCCTTTAAGACACGCCATGGTGACCCCCATCCATAAAATCATTTTCGTTGCTACTTCATAACTGCAATTTTGCTACTGTTTGGAATTGTAACTTAAATATCTGTGCTTTCTGATGGTCTTTCAATAGTCTTAGGCGACCCCCATGAAAGTTCGCAATCACAGGTTGAGAAACACTGATATAGAGACATGTGAAACTTGGGTGGTGTGACTTTCAAAGTAGCCCCAAACTTGGCCATTTCAGTCAGAGGGCGGTCCCCACAGTATCCTGCATAGGCCATGCGCAGCACATCATTATTACTGAGACTTTCAGCTCCCTGGGAGCAGCTCATTGCCCGTCTTGTGTCTAATGCATGGTGCATGCTCCCCATGGCCAGAACAGTGCGGCGCTGGGGGGTCAGGGTCCCCAGTCAGACACCTGGGTCAAATCCTCTGCCCCCTTAATAGTCGCATGACCTTCTGTCACCTCCCTGCTCCTTCACCCAGTAAGTGACGTTAGCTCCAAGCGGTGTACCGAGGACTGGAGGAGATCGTGGGTGGGAAAACTCTTTCTGCACTGCCAGGCACACAGGAAGGGTTGATTTAGGGTTTACATAGAGAAAGTGGGTTCTGTATTAGGCTTCTGACAAGAACAAGGCACTGAGGAACTCTGGTGCTGGCAGCAGAGATGAAAGTCACTGGCTGACGTAGCTCTGAATCATCTCCCACCAATAAACAGCCCAGTAAGGGAGCGTCCTGGCAGCGGGGGAAAAGTCAGCATTAAAAATAGATGGTGCCCAGTAGAGCTGCCCCACTTTCGGGCAGGAGCGCCACCTCCCGGGACCAACACTCCAGTGGGTGAGACAACACCCGCACCCAGTGGGTGCCTGGATGAAAGAGTTCCTTGGGCCTTGTTCTTGGGGAATGACCAGCTGCCACGATTTACTCCGCCTCCCACTTTAGTTGAGCCTCCATGGACACAGGAAGAGTCTGGCTGCGTTGTCGTCCCCAGGGGATACATAACAATGCTGTTTCCTGGCACAAAGTCACACAGTAGTTTGAGGTTAGTTCGAGACTCAGACCAGTCTGAATTCACTGGCTGCTCTTCTATCTATGATGTATGATGTTCTGTCCACTATGAGGCTCACTGGCCACATTTGGCTATTTCTATTTAAATTTGGTAGTACGTCCTAAAATTCAAAATTGTTCCTCGGTTGTTTGAGCTCCATTTCAGGAGTTCAGGGGCCACATGTGGCCTGTGGCTCCTAGGCTGGACAGTGTACCTGTGGAAAATGTCTCAGGAAGTTCTGTTGAAACCTACAACTTGCAAAGCTTTCCCCTAGATCTCTTTTTAGGCTTAATTCTCTTAATACTTTAGATGGCTCAGCAGGTTAAAGGTGCTTGATGCCAAGCCTGATGGCCTGAGTTCAAATCCCCAGAACTCCCGTGGTAAAAGGAAAGAACTGTGGCCTGTAGTTTGTCCTCTGACCTGCACACATGTACCGTGGCATGCACACACATGAACACACACACTTAATTTTTAAAATGTAATAAAAATAAATAACTCGAATAAATTCTCATTTTTTAAGAACACTCAGGGACCAAACCATTATCATCCTTTTGGTCCTTGCTTTCTGGGTGGCACAAACATGAGGCATATTCTCTTTCTCTGGGAAATGTTTGGAATTTCCGTCATGTTTGTGTTTAATCAGCAATCAATGTCCGGTGTCTCGGAGCTCACATGGCTCATCTTTATCCTAACTTTTCATCCCCAAACAATTGCTCAGCTTCCTGGGGTGCTAACTGCTCACTTCCTCATTTCCCACCTCAGTATTTATTTAGTTTATATAATTTAAATTCTACTTGATTGTGGTAGGGAAGGAGCCACATAGAAGGAGATTTGGACATGTCATTTCTAATCAGTTGGTTATATTTTAGTTGCTAGCCTTTAAAGCAATGTAAATGCTAAAAACACACAGAATATTAAGACATGGTTTCAGTTTGCTTTTGCCAGTACCCCTGTCAGATACTCTTTGCGGAGCCAGGAGTGAAGAAACACTTAAGATTAGGAGGAGCTAGATAACACCACCAATAATAATAGTGACACCAGGCGGTGGTGGCCCATGCCTTTAATCCCAGCACTTGGGAGGCAGAGGCAGGTGGATCTCTATGAGTTCGAGGCCAGCCTGGTCTACAGAGCGTGTTCCAGGACAGGCTCCAAAGCTACATAGAGAAACCCTGTCTCGAAAAACCAAAATAATAATAATAATAATAATAATAATAATAATAATAATAATAAATGCTATTATTTATTTCTGTAGGTAAGAAACTCACTCAGAGAACACATTCTAGACATTTATCCAGTTGCTAAGTTGGCAGCCCTGGAGCCAAAGCTCCACCAGGGTCTAAGCCGTGGCTCTATCCTTGCATCTGTTACCTCTTGAAATTATGCTCTGGGTCAGGATAGTATTCCTGGCATCATTCAAGCATTTGTTCACCCACTTATCTGTTCATTTGGCTCACAACAGCTGTATTTCCCATGCAGTCAACATCACAGAAGCTACTGGAGAGAAAAGTACAACGGAGTGTTGCCTTCAACAGGCCCATGGATTAGAATGAGGAAGCCTTCCCTCTGCTGCAGATGAAATGTATTATGGAACATGCCAAAGAACTTACGGGGGCCGAAGGTGTATATGTGTTTATAGATTTTCTTGCAAAAGACTTTTGCTAGATGTACCATATAAGCCAGCTAGACCACTCCTGGGTACATTCCCAAAGGACTCCATATCCTAGCACAGAGACACTGCACATCTGTGTTTATTGCAGCTCTACTCTCCTAGCAAGGAGGTGGAGCCAGCCTAGCTGTCCATCAACACACGAGTACATAAGGGAAATGTGGTACATATGCACTTTCTGTCTCCCAAACTGTGAGCTGCATCAACCTTCTCTCTCCACTAAAGCTCCAGTTTCATGTTCTTTGTTATAGCAATGGAAAGCTAAGACACTTAGTATCTTAAAACAACACAAATCCATACATTTCTAGAGACCAGAAATCTAAAACCACTGTTAAAAACTGAAGTAACCATCTCTGGGGACTAACCCTCACAATGTATTAAATGAACATGAATCAGACTTACCTGCTGAACAATTGGGCCCGAAAACATTGTCAGCAGCACAGGTTTCACAGGCTGTTCCACTAAAGCCCACCTGCAAAACACAGGTGGATGACATCAGCCCTGAGGGTATCCTGAGGCACTCCTATGTTACCCAGAAAGCCCCTGGACACCCCGTTGATGGTCTGGCCAGCATTTGCTTCTCTAATATGTCTTTCCCCTGGGCCTTTCTTCCTTCAGGTCACTTGAAGTCTTCGTGTATGAATCTCTGTTTTTGTTTTAGTGGTTTTTTTTTAAATTTTCTTTTGTCTAAAGCCCTAGATAAGAAAGCCGTCAGCTCAACCATATAAGTAGATGGTAAGTGTTGGCAGCTCCCCTCACCATCTTACCCAAGGGTGAAAAGAAAACACTTCGAGGTCTGTTCTGAAGGGAGCTGAACTCAACCCCCTTGAGAAGGATTTTTGTTTAATTCTCCCACACTTTGAAATTCACAAGAGTTCCTTTTGTTAGATAAAGAAATTCTTCAATGGCTACATTTCTGTGGTTGGCCCAGGGTAGTCTAGTAGCAGGGGAGATTACTAACAGTAGCAAGAAGTGACAACTTTATACCCTAGTAGGGATTCATAACGTAGCATTGCATATGTGGTCTCATTTTGTGTCTTCCAAGAGGGTTATTCCATAGATCTTTCCTCGGGTTTTATAGGTGGATAGAAAGATGAGAGGTCATTTTATTGCACATCACAAATTCTATTAATGCTGTTAGCCTTAGAGACTTCTCCTAGTGTGGGGCCTGTAATTAAGGCAGAGGAACAGGTAGAAAGGGAGGAAGGGGGAGGCAGCATTTCAGGAGTGGAGCAGCTCTCTGAACTTACTCGGCAGGAACAGCTTCCAGTTCCTTCCATGCCGTCATCACAAATGCCTCTGCCACTGCACGGTGACTCTGCTCCTCCTGGGCATTCTGGAATAAGCAAACAGACTAGATTTATTCATTCATTCTAGACTGAGCAAATAAATGCATGCTGCAAAGATGCAGTCAGCACCTACAGTGTGCCACTTAGTGTGTTAGTTGCCAGGGACAAAACAAAACAAAACAAAAACAAACAACAACAACAAAACAGAAAACAATTGAAGATTCTGTTGGTCTGATCTTAAGCTGGAGACCAGCCAGGGCTACACAGTGAGTTCAAGGCCATCATGAATCACATAGAAAGACCCTGTCTTGAAATCTAAGGGCTGAAGGAGTAGCTTTTCGGTAGAGCTGTTGCAGAGGTGAGGGGACTTCAGGGACAGAGATTTGGGCTGATGAGGTGCAGTGAGTTGGCTTGATCCATTCCGTGATGTACTTATGAAAGAGAGCAAAGGAAATCGGATTTCACCAGGGCTGGTTGCAAATGAGCATGCATTTTAAACTCCTGCTGACTGGAGCTATGATCAACTTTCACTAAAGGGTTTTCCAATCAGTCACCAACACTCTACAAAACATTACAATGCACAGTGAGGCCGAGGGACACTTATCAAAGAAGCTAGTTAGTGCAACAGCCCATCAGACAGAATTTAAAATGGTGGTAAGTGGCAGAAGTTAAGGTATGATTGCCCCAAGGATCCTCTTCTATTATGTGTCACTTGTTCTACATTGTGTGTGTGTGTGTGTGTGTGTGTGTGTGTGTGTGTGTGTGTGTGTGTGTGTGCCTGCAATGTTGACTAATGGGTCTAATAGAAACTATAGAGGTCCAGCCCCTCCATAGTCCCCTCCTAGGGTCTGGGAAGAATCTACAACCAGCTGATAATTAATCTTTGATGATAGGAAATGAATCTACGTACACGAAACTCCTTAGTCCATACACTATTATTCTGAGTCAGTTCTCTCTGCACACAGCTTCTGTTCTGCTCTCATGCCTAGCTCCTTTCTGGCTTGATTTCTCTCTACCTTTATCTGCTGTTCCCTCTATGCTCTATCTTAATTCTTTCATCTTAGTTTTGCCCCATCTTGGTCTTCCTCATGTTGTTCTTACCCATCTGGCTCTTCCTCATCTTCCATCTTGTCCTCAAGTTCTCTCCTCTAAGTCTCCTTATTCCTCTCAGTTCTCTCCAAGTCTCTGAGGTATTCAGTTATAAACCCCAAGCAATAGCAGTCCTCTGGCAAAGCAAGGTCACCAGGCTTGAATTCTTACGGGGTCATAGAGGCAGATAAGAGTTTTCCTCAGGCAGTGACTGTCAGGCTTTCTTTTACAACTCAAAAAGGGAGTGGTGAAGGAGGAGGTCAACTGAGAGCTAATATCCGTTAGTATATCAGAAAGGGAATTTGTGTTCTCAATCTACATTCCTAGAAGTGGTTAGGTAAAAATGTTAGGAGTCTATAATGTTAGTAAGGCTGTATAAGAATGGAAGTTCTCAGCTTAAACTGCACAAGAAATAAAGCTATTTGCCTGACCTAGGAGACAGGCGTTGTTTCCATAAGGGTATTACTTTAGTTCAAGAGAGCATTTGGCCTTGGATGTTTGATAGGTATTTTAGATACACTGTTAGGAGTTCTTGGAAGTATACATAGCATACAAGAAAATCACTGTAGGAACCAGCTAATATATATACAAAAGCTAAAATATCACCAAGACTTCTTAAGCCACGGTTTGATCTTTGGAGAAGTCCTTGACCTTTTTAAGTAGTAGCTTTTGTCATAGTAGTTGGATTCCATTCATTTTCCTGTGGCTTGCAGCATGGGCCTAATGTCAACTTGGGTGAGTTATCACCGTTTGTCCTCAGAAGGGACTGCTAGGTATGTCTGGTTAGGACCCTGGTTTATTCTTCCAAGAGGGTTGCTCTAAAAGTTGGGACTGGCCCCAGGCTTCCACTCTCTCTGTGATCTCTTTTTCCCATGTGAGTTCCTGCCACTCTGCAACACAGCTAAGATGATGGCCTTCATCAGAGCTGAGCATCAGCCAGTCTATGCCTTAGTTCCAGAGCTGTCAGTTAAATAAGCTTCTCTTTTTTATAGTCAGGCTGCCTCAGGTGATCTGTTATAGTAACAAAACCAGATAGCCACATAGGGGCAGGACATAAATATTCAGACCACAAAAACAGTTCTTAGATAAAGTGACGTCTAAACACAGAGAAAGGCTGTTCTCTGCAAGACACCAGTGGCTCTCCTGGTAAGCTGGTCCTTTAACAGATGGTTGGCAATTTACAGGTACTGTGGAGGAAAGATGAGTTGTCCAAAGTGAAGTTGATATTTCCTCTGGCTCCTCCTATTCAGAATATAAGTGGCTGACATGTTTGTGTTTTTTGTTGTTTTTTTTCCAAGACAGGGTTTCACTGTGTAGCTCTGGCTATTGTGGAATTCACTGTTTAGACCAGGCTGGATGAAGGGACTCTAGCAGACCTGAACATGGCAGACACAGGCCAGAGCATGGCAGCCACAGGCTGGACTCCGGCAGACACAGGCCAGAGCTTGGCAGACACAGGCTGGGCTCTGGCAAATACAGGCCGGAGCTCGGCAAACATTGCACACAGGTTTTGCCCTTTTTACCCTTTCCTCTCCCTTACTAAAAACCATTACCATTTCCAAAACAAGCCCCAAGGCCTGTCCCCTTATTTCACCTCTGACTCATTCCTGAGACAAAACACCAAGGTCCAACAATCAAAATTCATTATTTGGCTAGTATAGCCAATCAGGATTTACCAACTCACCCTAGACAGACCCTGCCCTTCCCCTAAAAACCCACTCCTGCAGAGACACCCTCTCTTGCTTGCTTGCTGCTGCTGCCTTTGCACATTGCCTTCCCCCAATTCCACTTGCCCCTCCAGGGTAACAAATCTCCTCTGTGCTGAGAATTTGGTGTTTGGGTATGTCCTATATTGATCCGGGTTGGGGTGTGTGCCCTCCCTTATACTGGCCTTGGACGTACAGAGCCTGTCTCTGTCTCCCAAGTGCTGGGATTGAAGGTGTGCATATTTTAAATCTAAATCTTCCACAATAGCAGCAAAGCCGGTCCCCAAAGGCCTGAAGATGCTCTAGGGGTCTATTGCCCTGCGTGTTACTGTGATGGACCCTCACCAAGCAACCAGACAGGCCAGGACCACAACACAGGTGATAGAAACATTTGCACAGTGAGGGGAGAAGAAGCCATCTGATTCATGGCTATACTGGCGGTCGCTTTTGAAATGAGATGCTGGTATGAAAACATCCAGAATGGAACTCACTTTTGGTACCACTAATGTTGCTTCTATCCAAGGAAGGAAGGGAGGGAGGGAGGGAAGGAGGGAGGGAGGGAGGGAGGGAGGGAGGGAAGGAGGGAGGGAGGGAGGGAGGGAAGGAGGGAGGGAGGGAGGGAAGGAGGGAGGGAGGGAGGGAAGGAGGGAGGGAGGGAGGGAAGGAGGGAGGGAGGGAGGGAAGGAGGGAGGGAGGGAGAGACAGAGACAGAGAGAGAGAGAGAGAGAGAGAGAGAGAGAGAGAGAGAGAGAGAGAGAGAGAGAAAGAAAAAAAGAAAGGAAGGAAAAAGGAAGGAAGGAAGGAAAAAGAAGGAAGGAAGGAAGGAAGGAAGGAAGGAAGGAAGGAAGGAAGGAAGGAAGGAAGGAAGGAAGGAAGGAAAAAAGACTTGGTCTGGGCTGTTAAGCAACTAGCGATGTGATGAGAAGGATTGTTAGAAAGACCCGGGCCTGGCGACTGGAATCTTCTGAATTTGAATCCCAGCTTGGACTTTGCTGTCCGTGCCCCTCAGCACAGCTCATGTCTGGCCCTGAGGTTCAGGTCCGTGCTGTCCCCTTGGCAGGGTGTTCTTGGGCCGGAAAGCTAGGTGATAGTAAAGGCAAATTGCTACAGCTCCGAGTGGAGATTCTGGTAGCTTCTCTCTTTAGGACTGGCATGATAACAAACAGTCAACGACACTCAGGAGAAAAAACTGAGGAAAAAAAATGGGTGAGGGGGGCGCAGACCTGTCTCTGTCAGGAGGAGAGGGCTGGGCCTCAGCCAGCAGAGAATGCTGCTCTCTCTACAAGTCGGCTGAGGACTGGTTGTAAGAAGCCCAGCACCCACAGCTCCCCCTACTGGATATTTTCAGAATTTATGCCAAATAGCCTAATTTTGAGAGGACAGATTGGTTTCGATCAGCCCCAACAGACAGGGAGGCCAGGTCACAAACGGAGGCCTTGTTAAAACTTTTAACCTTTGCCTGAAGAAGACCAGCTGAAGGTAAAGATGGAGGGAGAGAGGGGCAGAGATTCTTAAGCTGGGACCAGGAAAGCCCTTGGGGCATGTGTGTCTGTGCATCAGGTCTTTTCTAGTTTGCATAAAGTCTCTCCTGGTCTGGGATAAGTCCATGTCGCCATGACATGGCTAAGGATGCAAGGAGTTCATCAGAGGCAAAGCCTGCTAAGAAAACTTGAGAAATACAAGTATAGGACCTGATGAAGAGCTTGCCACCAAGCCCAAGGGCCTGAGTTTGATTCCTGGAACCTATGTGGTGGAGGGAGAAACTGATTCCTAAAAGTTGTTCTCTGAGCCCCACATGCTCACTGTGGCTCATCACATACACACACACACACACACACACACACACACACACACATACTCACACGTGCACACACACATGCATACACACTCAAACATACACAATTATCTACACACACACTCACACACGTGTACACACATGTATACACACATACACACAGTCACACACACACTGTCACACACACTCATACACACCCATCCCCCACAGTACACCCACACACCCCCACAGACACACACATTCACACACACAGATATACACACATACACACACAAACACATATGCACACACCCCTACAAGTTTATCAAACACCAAACCAAAGTAAAATTTACAATATCTGAAGTCAATAAAAACTAGGCATGAATAATGAAGAGAAAAACTAGTTAATTAAAACCAACAGAGAAGATACATATGTCAGACAAAGACTGAGAAAGTCACAGTTCTGTCCCATATGTTC